CATTGTTATCACGTACATCCATTTGGCTGAAAGAGCCTCTAGTTTCCCCCAAGTTCTCACCATGTTATCACAGGTTTCTCTAATCTTGTGTGATATATAACCATGAGGCTTAGTTCCTAATTCTGCATTATTATTTTTGTTCTAAGTGGACAATCATCCAATCACCATTTGGAAATCTCAGATCCAGGAGAAAACAATGCTCTTTCGTTGTTTAACTTTCTCTCCTGTCAAGGAGCAACTTATTGACTCAAAATATGGCAATTCTTACCCCAGACGCATGTTTAACCATGCTTGCTTTCTTTCCAATTTGACCTCCTTCTGGGTACATCTATCTAAAACCAGAGGGATTAGATGTTCTGTGCTAATCATGGATCTGGAAGTTTCAAGGATTTAGCTCTGCAGAGACACTCAATTGCTTCTTGAATAAGAAGGGAGAGCACTTATGCATCTGCTTAAGTGTAGCTACTATTACAGACTTAGTGGCAGACATATTTTGACACTTTTTAAGAATCCTAAAGCCTTAATGTTTTTAGTGCCATCAGCTTTGGTTACTTATCCATTTTATCCCAGTAGAAAATCAACCCAGCACGTACAAGTAGCTGATACACATTTCAACGGCAAGCCGGGATAACAAGGCAATTCCTACATCTGTAAAATGCATGCCATGTTTCCCCCAGTCCCCAGACAAACATTAGCAGAAATGGAGGGAATCATGTAAGCAGCACCGAAAATAGCTCCCTTAAAGTATCAACAGAGGCCAATGAAGTGTAGATAGAAGCGTGTTGAAGTATTTTCATTGTCCATATCTTTGCTCTACTGATAGATAGTCCCAGCTCAAAGATTATGGAAAATGAAAAAACAGCACACAGCAAAAATTCCATCTTTGTTTCTAGGATATTCCTATCCTCAAGTTTCTCTCCCATGTTTTCCTTGGCAGAAATGCAAAGAGTCTGTCTTGCTTGTAGCTTGAATAAGATTCCAAAGGATTTCTGAACTTACCATTCTTGTTGTATCAATGAGCACCAGACCGTTCAGCAAAAAGACCTTTGAGCTTTTGAAGCCCTTTAAGATGACTGTACACAATCAACATTCAACTATGGACAGCACATGCAAAAACACATCGCCCGAGGGAAGCATTTCCTTTTCAAAAGCTGCAACTCAAAGAGGGTGTTGTAATCGCGCACGTTGTGATACACCGTTCTGAACAAGGTGAGTGGCTAATGGTAAATAAAGGATGTGGAGATCTTTTGACAGTCTGGCTGGAATTCCCAGAGGCAACTGGCTAGCTACAGGGTGGAAACAGGATGCTGCACTTAGGAAATTTTTTGGTTTCATCTCACTGGGCTCTTAAAGCAAGCAGGTGGAAGCTTACCATAGAGTTTGAGGGCTCACAGTAGGAAGGGTTGAATTTGAATATGTCCCCCAACATTTCACCAAAAGAATGCACTGGGATCTCAGTGGTAGGGTAGATGCACCCCAGTTATACCTACCATTGTTACATATTGGAGGGCTCTATATATGTTCAACAGATTCCAAGTTTATGTAACTTTTCCACTGGTCAAATGTATCCACCAAGAGCACAGGCAATAATGGAAGACTTCATTCACTCGAGTCAGTTCAAACGTTCTTTCAGTGCAAAAGATCACTGAATCTCCTAATTACTCCCTTTTTATATGTAATCCTTTAATTTGGGGTAGAGTCAGGGTAATTGGATGCAGTTGAGTGTTTACTGGTGGGATGCCCTCCCTGATGCCATTTTTTTTTTCCTTTGTGCCCTAGGAGAGAAACATCTGCTGCTATCTAGGATTGAACTCTCAACCTTCTGAGTTGTAATCTTGGGTTTTTGTTTAGGCTGGTGGTTTAGGGTTACCCACACATTGTTGCCATCTATTAAACTCCCCAACTACATTTCAAGCACCAGTTTCAGGCACAATCTGTACTTCAAGTAATGTTTCCGCCCCATTTCTTTAAACACCAACTATTTTGTGAAACTCACACCTCACATTCCAGATGTGCATATTGGGTCCAGATGGTTAGGGATCTTGCTACTCTATCTTCCCTTCCACTATTTCTACAGCAGCCTTTGGGCATTTTAGGCATGGATGTTTACCATCACCCCTCCCCCACCAGATTTTTTTAATTGGAGACACCAGATGTTGGATTACAGCATCTTTCGGATGCAAAGTCAGTGCTCTGACATTAAGTGGGTCTTCGAGTGACACTCAAATCAGCCCAAATCCATTCGACATGGCTTGAAATGACTCATTCAGCCTAGAGTTAAGAAGAAATTACTGTGTGGTTTGCACACCAATATTTTGATCAGCAATGGGTGTAGTCAATTATGCAAGTTGGGATCTCTGACCATGGTCCAATTCTTCATGGAAGCCCCACTTGCCCCTGTTGGCAGAGCAGAAGCCAGTGTCCAGTAATGGGGAACTTATGCTTCCAGAGGTCAACCTTGATGTTCTTCAACTACAGCAGGAAAGGCTGCTTCTTTCCCCAAAAGAGCACCCGTTTTCTTTCTCTCTCGTTCAGACACAGAAACACATAGACCTTGATGATGCCTAAATGGTCGTAACAGTTTACTCTGCCTTCACTAAGGAAGGCAACCACTGAAACAGATAGGTAGGTAGAAGGAATGGCTCAGGTTCCTTCCGTCAACCATTCCTCCAAGTGCATCTAGAAAGGCAGTTCAGTTAACGAGAATGATTCTTTCTCTGTTGCTGGGACTTCTTTGTGTGTGTGTGTTTTTTTTTTTTTTTGCCTGAGCTGGACCCAGCCAATCCTCTCTTCTCAAAGCCAGACCCTTGATCCCTGGGGAGACACTCTTGACTTTCTACAGAAAGCCCCAGGAGAACATGTAGTGCAGTCCAGAAGCAGCCGCACGGTCAGGACGATGTGACAAGTAGAAGGAAGGAGAGGACAGCCTGAGGCCTGGCACAAACATCTGCCAGCTGGAATCAGAGGTCAAGTCAAGGGGGACAAGAGATAATATGAAGTAGGCCTGTCTAGTTGCATAGGGTGAAGTCAGGACACTGTCTGGAGATGTCAGATCAGAGAAAGAGATCGAAGCAGCTGTGTATAAACCCCTGGAAGGGCTTCTGTGCAAAGATGCCTCACTCTTCCTTCATTAAGGTCACTGCCTGGAGAGACTTCATGCTGCATAATATTTATTCAGCTCATAAAAAAATTAGCAGACTATGCCATGGCTCTCTAAACAGACTTCAAGCCATTCTCTTGCAAACACCCATTGTTTCTTGGCAGGCCACACTTAATGCTGGACTTGTCAGTCTTCTAAAACATCATTCCAGCCCATGAACAAGCTCCAGCTTTGCCTCCAGACCCCTTTTTGTAGACATTTGTGTCTTGATAATATGCCAGGCCAGACAGATTCAAAAATCAAAAATAAAAGGGCAATTCTTAATTCCTCGTTTGCCTCTTTTAATTCTGGCCTTTAGGACTACATGGTGTCCTTCCAGACCCAACTGCCTGAAGGATGATATGCCTGTAGAATGTTTGTGGGTGGGTGGGTGGGGGAAATTAGGACCACAGGTGATGGGGCAGAAAACTGTCAAGCAGACGTACGTGGTAGAGCACCTTTGCAGAAACAGCGAGACCAAGAGAGTGCCGCTCGGTTCTCTAGGTGAGAAGAAGGGAGAGCAGGCTGCAGTTCTCCCCATGATAAGGAGGAGACCCAAGGCCCTTCCAATATTTTGGGATGCATTTCCATAATCCCTGGTGTTTAGGTTTATGGGCACTGAATCCCGCAATGTCTAGAAAACATCAAGTTATCAATCCCTAACCATAATCTAAGCTCCCTGTTTTTTATTTCCATCTGGAAGTGTGTGCAATGAGGTAGTTCTCATAGAAGGGAAGGGAAAGGAAAGGAAAGGAAAGGAAAGGAAAGGAAGGAAAAGGAAAGGAAGGAAAAGGAAAGGAAAAGAAGGGAAGGGAAGGGAAGGGAAAGGAAGGAAAAGGAAAGGAAAGGAAAGGAAGGGAAAGGAAAGGAAAGGAAGGAAAAGGAAAGGAAGGAAAAGGAAAGGAAAAGAAGGGAAGGGAAGGGAAAGGAAAGGAAAGGAAGGAAAAGGAAAGGAAAGGAAAGGAAGGGAAAGAAAGGAAAGGGAAGGAAAGGAAAGGAAGAGGGAGGGAGGGAAGGGAAAGGAAATGAAAGAAAGGAAAAGGAAAGGAAGGAAAAGGAAAGGAAAAGAAGGGAAGGGAAAGGAAAGGAAGGAAAAAGAAAGGAAAGGGAAGGAAAGGAAAGGAAAGGAAAGGAAGAGGGAGGGAGGGAGGGAGGGAGGGAAAGGAAAGGAAAGGAAGAGGGAGGGAGGGAGGGAGGGAAAGGAAAGGAAAGGAAAGGAAGGGAAAGAAAGAAAGTATTTAAATGTTATAGAAGAAGGCATCTATGACAAACCAATGAAAATAGAACAATGAAACTTGTTCAGTGTCTCTCTGTGCTGTAGGAATATAATTCCCCCTCCCACGCAGCATCAAGAAACCGCATTCTGAAATTAAAGCAAATCATCAAAATACATTGCGGTCCTATTTTTCATCTTGCCTAATGTCTCACCTTGCATCTCTACTGAATGAATCTGAGCACTGTGGTAGAGCAATGAGGAAGGGAGGCAGGCTCATAAGAAACCGAAGCAGTGAGAGATGAGGATTGGGGATAGAAGGTAAGATTATGGGAATAAAAAGAGGTTATTACGGGTACAGGACACAATTGAGAGTTGTGCGTTAGTTAGAAGAAGGAAAATTATGAAGAGCTCCTAATTTCCAAATCTTAATTGCAGGGCCTTCTGGAGATGCCTTTGCGTCTACATTTTCAAGTCTCTCTGCAACCACAAAGTAAAGCTAGTGATTTAAGCTACCGTTTGCTTGCTTTTTAAATGATGGCTGAGATGCTTGAAGGGTTTATGACGGGTTATTGAATTCTGTGCAATAATGCGCACATAAGTTGGCAGGAAATACAATAGGAACATCACTACCACATCACAGTGATCTTGAATTTTGATATCTGGGCACAAGCTCATTGATGGTAAGGATGCCCTCTCATTTATTCCAGGCCACTCCTTTGGACTGACCCAATTTTTTTAAAAAAACAAAACAAAACAAACCCACCCTCGCTCTAAAACAATGAGCCATTTCAGTCATGCAACTTGAAGGAAATTGATCTTTGTAGCTGACCTTACAGGTTTCAGGAGTGACAAATTTAGCAGCAATCATAAAAGTCTTGACCATTGCTGTAGAGGAAACCTTGCAGGGCACCTGCCCATAGATATAGAACATCAAATACTGTGGTATGATGGCTACTTTTTTTGTAACAAAGGCTTCCCACCGAAAACTTCCAAAGGAATTACAATTGATCTGCCAACATCTCAGTCAACTTCTCCCTGCATTTTATGACAGAACCTGAGGGCAAACTCAATACAAACCTGAATAATATCATGCTCTCCAATGTTTTTCTTTGACCCCTCCCACCCCCAAAGCATCAGAAGCCACGTTCCCCCAAGGAAGAAAAGGCCCAAATGTTGAGCATACTGAACAAAGAAGGAAACCAAGCTTTCTTCCGTATGGCAGTTGGTGCCATTTTGCAACCGGGCGCTGAATGATCTGGTATGACTTTTCTGGAAGCCACGGCAATGGGCTGCAGTCTAAAGCAGCTTCCCCCAGTTTGGGGTGTACAGTTGGGGGATTACAGTTCCCATCTTTTCGTATATCACAAGCGGTCCTTCCACGGGATGCCTGTCATTTCAGGTATCCAAGCCACGCCAAGAAATTCAGCAGTTACAATGGCCTATGTTATGCAGTGCAATATTTAACAATTTAGTGGGGCAGGATTAAATTAAAAGGCCAAACCACCTCTGGGAGATTTCCTGGATACATTTTGGACCCTTGCAATGCTCTCCCCTCTCCAATAGGCTGAAGTTTAGTCTGTCCCTCCTGGGACATAATTGAATCAGCTGACTTGCTTCGACTAGGATGGGAAGCTCTAGAGGAGGAAACAGCAAGGATGCCTCGTCCCAGAAAAAAGGACAACCAACCTCAGATCAAATGATCTGAATCAGATGATGGGACAAATAGATGGAAGAATCCTTTTGGATACCACCAGTCTGGAGATGCTAACATTACCAAATACACTGTTGGTTCCAAGATTCTCCTAAACTAAAATCCCTCCTCTTACACTTCCTGCATTGGGTTGAGTTGGGTTGGGTTGGGTTGGGTTGAGTTGGGTACTGGCCTCTTTTCTTCTACTAAAATCCCAGGCAGAGTCTGCTGTGACCCAAAGACGTGAATCTGTTGCATCTCAAAAGCCAACATCCTGAAGTTATTCTAGCTTTTAGGCCAGTACCACACCACCCATTTTCTGAATAAAATGCATTCCTTACAGCTCTTGGACTTTCCACTTGTTTACAAAATTCCTTGCCCAGAAGGCACTTCTGGGTAGGAAGAAGAGTTAGTCTGCTATCACCAGCAGCAGCAGTGGGCTCCCACTGTGTGTAAAAGTGCACAAACAAAGCTCTAGTTAGCCAAGCTTTTCCAACACCTTCACGCTGGGTGCATATAGTAGGTCTACGTGGGTCTTATTTCTATTCATTCAAACTGGGTTTGGAAGAAAGTGGGCTGGACTCAGAGAGCACCACTGTTCTCCTCATGCCTCTGTATGTTCAGTGTAACATCTGCCAAAGGAAACTGATTTACATGCAGCGGTTTATGGGCCAATCCTCACTTACAGCCACTGTGCTTGAGTATACATGATTTGGAAGAAACATGGCAAATGACAAAATTTGGGGATAGGGCCATTGCATACGGGCTAAGTCCCTTTTCCATGTGTCTGTTAATGTGCAAGAGGAACATTTGCAGAGCGCTAAATTCATTCTGCCCGCCCTCCCCCATATACAATTGTTATGGGGTAATAGGTGACTCAGATCTGTATTTTCTAGGCAATGGCTTGGGTTCCAATTTTGTTTGGTTCCAATTCTCCCCAGATGATAGGCCATAGACCTGATGGGGGCCCCTAGGATTGCTGTCAAAACCCATGTTGCACTTTGGATTCCCATGCAGTTGAGATGGCACGACCCATCTCCATACCCTGCCATGGTACCCTTCCTCTCGTCAGGAACAAACAAGACACGCCAACTCCGTTGGAGACAATTCAGTAGTGCTATCAAAAAAAAAAAAAATTAAAATAAAATAAAATTAAGTTTTAAAAATCTGGTCCATGAAATATCACCCACACTCCTTGAAGAGGGTGCACCATGAATGGTGGACTTTCAGTAAGAGAGAGGTTAGCAGGCTGCCGACTGCCTCCAAACACCCATGAAGTCATTGCCCCGTCTAGTTGCACAATTGCTCCAGAGATTTGGCTGGAAAAGACAGGTCTTCTTGGGTCCTCAATGGCAGGTTTTCATTCCTGATACGTAGGGGGACTCTTGAGGCCGGCAGTTGCATTCCTGCTGTTCCGGGTAGTCTATAAAGTCTGGGGCAGGAAGACCCGTGGCCACCATTAACGATTTGTTCCAAATGGTAAAGGTAGGGCAGACAGGCAGGATGAAAGCAATCTCAAAGGTATGGAGATGGAGCGAGTTGGCAGGGTCGTAGAAGGAGAAGACATTATTGTCATAGTCCAGGAGGATGCCCAAGCGCTTCATTTGGGGGTGAACGTCAAGCAGCATCTCCTTGTTGTTATGCCGCACTACAAAACTGTTGTTACAGCGGGAGAAAACCCAAGAGGAGGAGTTCTTGCCGACCCACTCATTCTTAGGGGCTGATTTGTAGGCAATGCCAATGGCGTACCTGGAAAAACAGGAAGAGCAGCAAGAGTCAACTTACAGGAGATCAGCTGAAATGAGGCACAATGGAATGGAACGTGTGCACCTGGAGCAGCAGATAGGGGAGAGTGGGCAGGTCCAGAGCCTTCCTAGAAAGAGGCCCAGATCAAGAGAATATGCAGACCCAAACTGGATGGAGCAGGAGGGGGGGGAAGTTCAAGGTAGCCCCCCTAGAATCTCTCAAGATATATCTAGTAGGCTAGATGGCTATTGCTTTAGTCCGGCAAGATTCTGTCCATTAAGTACAAGCAAATAACGGATTGGACTCAACTATGTTTCACTGCCTCATCTCGAAGTTTGAGCTTGACGTGGAAAGACAGCATCCCTTCATCAAGTCTGATAGACTGACTTAAATGTTGGACGTCCACAGGGTTCAAACCTTCATTCAAACAGACCACACATTAGCCAGCTTTATTTTTGTGTGCCTTCAAGCCAGTCTTGGCTCCCAGCAACTAAACAGACCAATCCACGCAGGGTTTTTTTTAAAAAACAGAAGTGTTTTGCCTTTGCCATTCTTCTTCCCAGAGCTGACAGGGAAGGACTGGCCCAAGAGAGGACTAGAATTTCCTGTCTCCCAGTTTCTAGTCTGATACCTTTAGCCACTACATCAGTGGTTCTCAACCTGTGGGTCGGGACTCCATTTGGGGTCGAACGATCATTTCACGGGGGTCGCCAAACAACGCAGTCCGCCATTTTTTTTTCCCTTTTCATTAGCTGTGCTACTCCCTTTTATTCTATTGGCTTTTGAAAGAAGTCTAATTCTTGAATAGAGTCTAATTCTGTTGGCTTTCAAAAGCCAATAGGAATTGTCCAAGCTGTCTCTGGACAAAAAGTCCCATTCTGCAAATGGTGCTGCACCAGTTGAGTAGTCCTCAACTTACGAACGGTTGAGTAGTCCTCGACTTACGACTGGTTGGGGGTCGCAGCATTAAAAAGGTTGAGAACCACTGCACTACATCCAAGTGACTCTCAGCTGGCTCCGTGCTCACTGCTGTTTCTTTGAGTTGAGTCTCTCTCAAAGAATTTGTTTTGCAGATCCTAACGAGGAGCGTCTACCCTCACTTTATGGGAGCAAAAAAAAAAAAATCTTGGAAGCAAAGTCTATTTTTACTTCCCCCAGACTTTTAAATACCCAACCCAATTTTCTTCCACGGCTTTGTGCTTCTCATTCTACAGCCCTTTTACGTTGTGCTGGTGACTTCAAAGTCCCTGCGTTCGTTCCGCTCTCGCTGTGGCGTTTTGTTAACTGCCATGGGAATTTCTTCATCGATCAAACAAAATGAAGTATAGTTTTGTATGCTGGTAGTGGTGAGTCTGTGTGTGGAGTGTGTGTGTGGTGTGTAAGTGTGGGAGGGAGGGAGGGAGGGAGGGAGGAAGAGAGGGCAGAGAATTCACTCGTCACAAAAAAGTAATTGCCCAGCTATGCCCATCAACCTCTAGTTGTTGTTAAAGCAGGTGTGTAGAATTCTTAATTTCATGCTGCGTCAAATGCAAATGATGGGAAGACGGTGAAGTGTGCTCTCCTATTTCACAGTCCAGCTATTATGGTGCATTTCACTATCTTCAGCTCTCGCCGTGCTAAGTTGGGTCTTTCTTTATAGGCCCTTGGCACAGAAGCCCCCCCCCCATACACACACCTTTCTCATCCACCACATACATCAGTTGAAGCAGACATCACTCTTGAAAAGGGTTCTGTTTCTATAACAGAGATCCTACGAAATTGGGATTTTTGTTGTGAGGTGACACTCTGTCTCTTTGCTCTGCTTTCTTCCTGCAGCCTATCCTTCGGTACTGTGTTGTTTAGCCACGTAACATGATTGCCTGATATCCAAGGCTTCACAAACCTATTTCTAGCACCTCTGGCACTTTTTAAATCTTGCAGGATCTAATCTGAGTTGTCGCCGGGACGAGAGACGTTCCATCTTCTGAGCTTTCAGATTTGTTCTGGGGCCCATCCTCAAGGAACTTCCCTCTATCACAGGGGTAGGCAACCTTAGCTCTTTTATGACTCGTGGACTTCAACTCCCAGAATTCCTGAGCCAGCCATCGTAAGGGGAAAGGGAGAGGTTTCCAAGCTGAGCCATGCTGGATCAGGAATTCTGGGAATTGAAGTCCATGAGTCATAAAAGAGCCAAGGTTGCCTACCCCTGGTCTAGGAGGCTCACCACTTAGAACAGGAGGACTTAGGACAGGGGTAGGCAACCTTGGCTCTTTTATGACTCGTGGACTTCAACTCCCAGAATTCCTGAGCCAGCATGGCTCAGCTTGGAATCTCTCCCTTTCCCCTCAACCTGGCTGGCTCAGGAATTCTGGGAGTTGAAGTCTATGAGTCATGAGGGGGGGCCATAGTTCCCCCATGCTGGCGCAGGAATTCTGGGAGTTGAAGTCCACAAGTCATAAAAGAGCCAAGGTTGTCTAACCCCTCGTCTATCAGAATGGGTGCTGGGGAACCAACCTGAGGATCGGCTCCAGCATGAATTCAAAAACCTGGAAGAGTAAAACTCTGGTCCAGGTGACCAACCCAGATTGGATCCTGCATCCCCCCAGTCATGTGATCAAAATTCAGACCCTTGGCAAATGACTCATAATGATGACGGTTGTCCTGTCCCAGGGTCATCTGATCCCCTTTTGCAAATGTCTGACAAACAGTCAGTGGGGGAAAAGCCAGATTCATTCAACCATTATGATACTAACTTAACAATTGCAGCGATTCACTTCACAACTGCCGCCAGAAAGGTCGTAAAATGAGGCAGAATTCGTTTAATATCTATCTTGCTTAGCAACGGAAATTGTGGGGCCAATTGTGGTTGTAAGTCGAGGATTACCTGTAATAGCTACTACAAGAGAATTTCAAGCCCTAAATGTCCAAAGGAATCAGAATAGAGCTAGAAGGGACTTTGGAGGTCTTCTAGTCCAGCCCCCTGCTCAAGCAGGAGACCCTATACCATTTCAGACAAGCGATTGTCCAGTCTCTTTTTAAAAACGTCTAGTGATGAAGCACCCACAACTTCTGGAGGCAAGCAGTTCCACTGGTTAATTGTCCTCACTGTTAGGAAGTTTCTCCTTATCCCAGAAGGAGTTGTTGTTGTTTTTTAAGTTCACAGCAAAAAAGGGAGTACACTTTTCAGCCTTGTGTTGATCCAGTGTTACGATCCTCTCTAAGCTTTGCTCTGCAAAGCAAAGTAGCCCTACCTTTGATCAGCTACTCCGCTCTTCAAACGGAAGAGAACTATTCACTAATAACCATTGTGAAAGAAAATAATGAAAGACCCAAGGAACCGATAAGAGTATTTTCCACGGACACCTGATTTGAAATAACTTCCCGGCTCGGCTCCGGGGGCTCCCAAACAGCCTTCTCTTTTAAACCGAAGTCAGTGGCTTTGTGGGAGGAAGACAAAAGAAATATGGGCATTGGCTTAGAGAAGGGCAGCGGCAACTGCACGCAGGAGATGGGGGGGGGGCTGATGACATTTCAATTGCAACTACCGAAAGCCGCAAGTCCCTGCTGTGCCTTTGATCAGTGAATTTCTGTATGACACACGCCCGAGGGCCGCTTTGAATGCAGCCCTAGCGCAGCTCAATTATTCCTGCCCTCTTTCCCTGCAGCGCAGAGCTTGAGTGGGTGCATTGCTCATGAACCTTGGGAGAATACACACAGCCCGTATTTTTAAATGAAGCCCTCCAGCGGAAGAGGTTGAATGGAAGTGGCTTTCAGAGAAACCTAAGTTTTCCCCCCCCCTCCAAAAAAAGACCAAACTACTTACCAGTGAAATGTCCAATTCTGTGCAGTGAATGTGGGAACAGACTCTTCCTGTTACTCTATTGAGCACGGGTTCAAGAGCCTGTATTTTCCCTCCACACACTGTAAAAGGACCTTGGCTATCAAAGGGTGGTGGAGAACCTATCCTTAAATTCAAGAGCCCAGAAAAGGCCTAAAGGAAAATGAATTCTAGGTTGCCCAATTCAAGAGAAGCTTTCACGGCATCTCCTTTTGTACCAATCCCGCTTCCAGACATAGCCATTCTGTTATGGATTCCAAGGATGCCATTTTCATAACAGAATAACAGAGTTGGAAAGGACTTTGGAGGTCTTCTAGTCCAACCTCTTGCTCAAGCAGGAAACCCTACACCATTTCAGACAAATGGTTGTCCAATCTCTTCTTCAAACCTCCAGTGTTGGAGAGCCACAACTTCTGGAAGCAGGTCGTTCCACTGATTGATTGTTCTCACAATCAGGAAATTTCTTAACAAGGTGAAGTCACCTCCCCTTTGAAGAGGTTCAGTTTAGGGGCGAAATGACAATGTACTGATCACAAAAAGGGTTCAAGAATTAAAGGGCCTCGGTCATGGGAAGCGCCGTTGGCACTACCCTAGTGTCATTTTTTTAAAAAAAATATATCATACAGTACTAATACTCAAATCATGAACAGGAAAAGGGAACAAGGGCCTGTGGCCTCTGAAATGCTAGCCCAGTGGTTCTCAACCTGTGGGTCGGGACCCCATTTGGGGTCGAACGACCATTTCACAGGGGTCGCCAAACAACGCAGTCCGCCATTTTTTCCCCCTTTTCCTTAGCTGTGCTACTCCCTTTTATTCTATTGGCTTTTGAAAGCCAATAGAATAGACTCTCTTGAATAAAGTCTAATTCTATTGGCTTTCAAAAGCCAATAGGAATTGTCCAGGCTGTCTCTGCCCTGCTGAGCCCACCAAAAGTCCCATTCTGCAAACGGTGCTGCAAGTTGTCTGCAGCGAAGGCGAGCTGTCTGGAAGTTTCCACCCCTCCCTGCTGAGCAACTACTAAAAATGTAAGTAAAAGAGGGCCAGGGGTGGGAGGTGGGAGGCCAGTAGGCGCAGGGAGGGTTGCTGGCGCGCATGGGGCCCGGCAGGTGCCTTACCTCCCTTGGGCTGGGCCAGCTGGTGGCCCAGCCAGTGGTCGGCCTGCGCCGTCTCTGCCGCTTTCCAGCTACGCCTCGGCCGGCACAGGGGGCGGCACCACGCATGCGCGGCATTCCCGGGCAGGGAAAGTCCTCGACTTACGACCGGTTGGGGTTCGCAGCATTAAAAAGGTTGAGAACCACTGTGGTAGCCAAATGCTTTCTCCCATCGGCTTCCATGGTCACAACCCACTTGAAGAAGCCTCCAAGTTCATTATGTCTTCTAACATTTGGGTGATAGGAAACAGAGATACCCCCGGACCTAACATTGATGGCCTTGCATCTCTTGCATTGCGTCGGCTTTGCGATTATTCTTTTTTGAATAATCTTTGTTTTATGGTGGGGAATGAAGAGAAAGAATGCAGAACCTTGGCCTATCCACACAACCCCTTAAGGTAGCCCATTCTTACCCATCATGGCCTACTTACCAAGTGGAGGTTCCTAGAGTTACTTCCCAGTAATGACAGCCGCTGTCGATGAACACATTCCCCGTGACTCCATAGCAGCCTGTTCCACTAAATCTCTCGGGGGTGTGACTCTTTTTTAGGGAGCTTTCATCTTTCTCCATCTGAAGTCCATCATTGGAGATCTTCAACTTCTTATGAGCCATTTTAGGGTCCAGCTTGAAAGGCTGGCCTGCAAGAGCAGAAAGCAAAGATTGAAAGTCAACACAATCCAAATCATTTCCCCCCAAAAGTTTCCCACCTTCCTGTGCAATTATTTGTCCTTTTCCAATTCTCTAAAGAAGCCTGATTCCTTAACAATAACAGTAATAATTAAGCCAACTGGAAGCATTCAAAAATAGAAGTTACATAAATAAAAGCGCTGTGAATCGGGCTCTCACCACCAAAGTCCAGCTGGACAAAATCCATGTTAACTATTTTCCTGCAGGCGAGAGGGAAGGGTTTAAATGAGCATGAGAGGGGAGGAAGTTTCCTAATTCTTACTCTCTCTCATCAGGAGTATAGTCATTCCAAGAAACAAATCAAAGTTATAAAAGTGTATGTCGACAACCAGTTGGGTATTACGAGAATACTGTTTTACAGGTAGTCCTTAAGTTAGGACCTCAATTATATTTTTATTTTCTCCTCAAATTCTGAGGGTAACTCTCAACTTATGATCACCATCAAGTCCAAAATGTCCGTCACTAAGCAAGACAGTCGTTGAGTTTTGCCCCATGTTATGTCCTTCCTTGCCTTAGCTGTTATTAATGTGATGGTGAATCTGGCTTCTCCATTGACTTTGCTTGTCAGAAAAGAGGATCTCATGATCCTGGGACAGTGCAAGCATCATAAATATGAGTCAGTTGACAGCTTCTGAATTTTGATCACATGACCACGGGGGTGCTGCAACGGTCGTAAGTGTGAAAAACCGTCATGTGTCACTTTTTTCAGGGCTATTGTAACTTTGAATGATCACCAAACAACAGATTGTAAGCCAAGGTCCACTTGAATTTTTCCTAAAGCAGTGACGGCGAACCTTTTAGAGACCAAGTATCTCAAAATGGTCCTGGGCCTGCCCCCACTCCATCCCCCACCCCATCCCACCCCCTGACCCACCTGCCCGCAGGTCCACCCACAACCTCCACGGCCCACCGCAGATCGCCTAGGCGACCCTGCAGCATCATGCTGGCCACGCCTTCCGCCCGCACCATCTGCACACGACAGGGCGCGAGGAGGGAGTCTTGTCCCCGCTGCCTGACTGCCATGTCCTTGGCTGCGCTGCTCCGCATGGGCTGCACCCAGGGGTGACTCTCCTTTGGGGGGACTGCTGGTGAGGAGGGGGCCATAGGGGGAGGTGGGGCTGGGGCGACGGCACACATACCCACAGAGAGGGCTCTGAGTGCTGCCTCTGGCACATGTGTCATAGGCTTGCCACCACTGTCCTAAAGGGTTGGAAATCACTATGTTAAACAATCTAGAAAAAATGTTTCCAGGTGATCCTCTGGCATACTGAAAAAAAAAAACAAATCACCCCAGAAGAACTCACAATGGCTCAAGAAAGCTCCCAGATCATCTGCCTCGCTTGAAGAATGCTGACACCAAGATTTATGTTTCTGAAGTCAACAGTTTGTTTGTTTTTTTAAACGGGGCATGTTTCTAAACTGCTACCTATCCTTGCTTGCAACATGCAATTGAAAGGAACTTAACGCTGCAAGCAACCCTTTGGGATTTCAGCAGGAATAGTGCCACTGGAAACTGGATTTAATTTCCCAATTAACTACTGTGCCTTGTCTTCTAGACCTGCTAAAAAGACAAATCCAGCTGCTGTTTTTGAGAGGCAGAAATGGAAGAGCGAGATCTTGCAAAGCAGGAAAGACAATAACATCTAATTCTCTGCAGCCTTTATTCTCTGTTCGCATTAATGTGAATTTTCCAGGCATACTCTAGGGCAAAAACACTGTTATTATGCTTTATAGGAAAGCATGCCCACGTGGCTTCACAAACTTTTTTTCCGCCCCTGATGGATGGTTGGATTCAAGGGCCTTTTCTTCCTGTGGGTGGTTCTGGCTGCAGACACCAATCAAAAGCTGAAAATCAGTTTTCTTCCATCCTGCCAGTGACAGAATGAGATACAACCTTAGTTCATCACAGTGCATGATTCCCAAGGCTGGGAAAACTTGAGGTGCAGTGGGAAATACTCTCCTGCTCCTTTAAGCCATCCATCATCGTCTGATGCTACTTAACTGCATCAACAGCACAAGCTTTATTGAATCATCAAAGTCCAGATAGATCTATAATGTGTGCAAGAAATGCTTAGATACGCTGCCAGGTTTTCTCACTGGCACAAGATGCCTTGTATCGTTGTTGATAGAAGGAACTGCAGGGAACTGAAATCCAGTGTCAATCACCTTATCGTGGACATCAAGAGATCTTTGAAGGCGAGTTCTATGCTGCTCTATACAGACTGGGCAGCCCCTTGTCCACACATGCAACAAGCTGTATTCTCTTTGTTCTTCCACTTACAAAAAGTTGGACGCTGCCAGCATTTCATTTTTGCAGAACGATCCCTTCCTAATGCACGGCCTGCCGTGATTTATTTCACCATGAAAGAGGCAAGGGAAGGGGAAGAATTGTGTTGGTTGTAATTAAATAATTGCAAGCAGCCACACGGTGAGCATTTATGGCCATAAACTGCAATAACTCAATGGGGCCATCCATATGTCAGGGGACAGTCGACAGAGGCATAGTTCAAGCATGAATTTCCCCGAGTATCTGAAAGCTACTGCTGCAAAAAAAAAAAAAAAGACGAGACTTGATATGTTTTGCACAGAAACGTAAAACTGGAAGGAATCTTGCAGTTCAGTTGCCCTTAATCTAATAATCAGCGTTATATTAGCTCCATGCAAAGGAATATGGAATAGAAGTTCTCAAGGTCAAGCAGAACACTCTGTCAACTCTACAAACGAATTTAGCCTTTCGGTTGACATAGAATTAGGGAGGGTAATGAGTGTTTTTTAGCTTAGTCAAAACAATAAATTGTTCCGTGGGAACCAAGGTCATTGCTGGTTGCATCTTGGTGGGCTAAAGCCTTTGTTTGCTGATTTCATTCCCTTGGAGGATGTTTTTCAAGATTTGAGGTTTCGGTGACATGTACAAGAATCAACATTTAAATCAGGGGTTGAATGAAAGAGCAGCTGATGATTCTGCATTCAACTTCATTTATTAAAAAAGATGTTGAGACTCTAGAAAGAGTACAGAGAAGAGCAACAAAGATGATTAGGGGACTGGAGGCTAAAACATATAAGGAACGGTTGCGAGAATTGGGTATGTCTAGTTTAACGAAGAGAAGGACAAGGGGGGACATGATAGCAGTATTCCAATATCTCAGGGGCTGCCATAAAGAAGAGGGAATTAAGCTATTTTCCAAAGCACCTGAAGGCAGGACACGAAGCAACGGGTGGAAACTAATCAAGGAGAGAAGCAACCTAGAACTAAGGAGAAACTTCCTGACAGTGAGAACAATTAATCCGTGGAACAGCTTGCCTCCAGAAGCAGTAAAGGCTCCAACACTGGAAGTTTTTAAGAAGAGACTGGACAGCCATTTGTCCGAAATGGTGTAGGGTTTCCTGCCCGAGCAGGGGGTTGGACTAGATGACCTCCAAGGTCCCTTCCAACTTTACTACTATTACTATTACTATTTATGACACATTACTGGGATGGGAAGTTCAACTTTGTAACATTGTAACCTTTGGGGTGGAAATCAGTCTTGGGTCCACCTTTGATTGTGCCGATGCTATGTAGCCAAATAAATATGTTCTTTAAGGAAATTTTTTTGCCTTGGAGTTCTTTTTACTGGTCTCATCTATCGGAACCATGACATAATCTATGTGCCCACCCTCCCCAAAGACTTAGACAGGACCTCCACAATCCCTCAAGATATGAGCTTCAAATTATAATTTGGAGATAACGAGAGGAGGGGGGGAAATGCATGGGAAAATAATGCTACAATATCTGATTTTTTTAAAAGAACAATATTTAGATTACATTAAAATTAAAGCCTTTTTATTTTTTTACTCATCCGTTGCAGGGGAATGAAGGCTCCAGTTGACTAGAACTCACCTTCTCCTGGGTGATTGGCCTATAGTCACCCAGTCAACTTTCATGGCTAACTGAACTCTAGAATTCACAGTCTCCTGGTTTCTAGCCTAGTGCCTTAACCACTAGACCAGGGGGTAGGCAACCTTGGCTCTTTTTATGACTCGTGGACTTCAACTCCCAGAATTCCTGAGCCAGCATGGCTCAGCATGGAAACCTCTCCCTTTCCCCTCAGCATGGCTGGCTCAGGCATTCTGGGAGTTGAAGTCCACGAGTCATAAAAGAGCCAAGGTTGCCTACCCCTGCACTTGACCAACCTGGCTCTTCCATGAGGGCACATTTGCTCCAAGCTCTTGTGCAGTGAAGGATCTGCAAGTGGCTTTTGGGACCAATCCAGAAAGTCAGTTCCATGCATAGCTATGTGGTTTGCAAAAGTTGTGCGGTCTCCTAAGTAAAACCAACAGAGCCCCCTTGAGGGATGCATGCCCACAGTTGGTTTTGAGAATCCGTGGCTGCAGTTGGGAGTTCTCCTAAAACAATTCTGGATACCCTGCAGGTGACAATGAACCTGGGTGAACCAAGTTCACCCTCCAGCTCTGCAGAGTTAACCACGTTGAGGAACATTCTGAACAGTATTTGACAGGAACACGTGCGCTGAGAAGCGAGAGGAATGACATAACCAATCAATTGTTATTCCCCAGCAGAAGCAGAGCTCAGCTGAAGTCTGTCAAAGCACATCTTTGTTGGAGTTCAAGAAGGCTGTCAGACTCTCAGCTCTGAAGGAGCTTTTGGGCAAGGGAGCTCCTGCGTGTTTATTCATCTCCCCCTCCTTTAATTGCATTTTTATAACATTCTGGATTTTCTAGGTGTGGTTAGAAGCTGTCTGGAGTGCAAGAGAACTTGTGTTTTGCAAATAGATGAGGACATTGCTGAATAGCACTGGTGCCTAACTATAAGTGGGTGAACTATTGCAAGATTTTGGCTGTCTCACACCTAAAATCTCAGCTGGTTTCCTAGAATCAGGGTTGGGAGGTGACACTCTGAGACCTGCAGGGGTCGAGATTAAACCATTCATCACAAGTATCTGTCCAGCTTCTATCTGGACATGTTCAGAGAACAAGTCTCCATTCCTGCTCTGGGTAGCTGATTCCTAACACTGTACAAGCATCTTCCTGTAATTTAAGGCTCTATTCATTGTCCTGTACTTTGAGAGGACACAGAACACATTTTGGGCTTCAAGCTGACTCCCTTCTATATGTTACTACAATATCCCATCTTCCTTTCTCAAGACCAAACATTCCCAAACCGCTCAACTACTTCTCCTTGGATGTAATTTCCAAGGAGACTCCATATGAGAATTCAAAACTATCATGCGCTAAAAGAATTCAAATCCTGCAAATGTCATTTCAGAAGTTGTGGCTTGCTGACAATCCCATTCTAAAATGTGCTTTGCCGAAAAAGCCACGCCGTATCTCTGCTCTAAAAACTTGGTCCAAGAGGGGGAAAAAAAACATGAAATCTAGGATTTAAGGTCTCCTTTTCCAAAGTATCCCCCTAATTCCTCCGAAGAAGCTTCGTTCCATTGCTGGGCTGCAACTCCAGCAGCAGATGTGAAGATTGCAAAGGAAAAACTACCCTTGTATTACTATACCAGTGGTGGCAAACCTATGGCACGGGTGCCAGAGGTGGCACTCAGAGCCCTCTCTTTGGGCACGCGCGTCGTAGCCCCAGTCCTAGGCCTTCAGCTGGGTTTTATAAAACTTTTTCGCTTTACGCCTCCGCCGCCATGTGCAAAAAAAAAAAAAAAAGGTTCAATCAGTCAATTTCAACTTCTTGCAGGGAAAAAAGATCTTGCAAAGTTGGAATTGATTGATTGAACTTTTTAGTCCCATCCAGTCTGCTGTTACCACCGCAGCCAGGCCCAGCCAACGGGCCACACCCACCCGGTACTGAACGATGCATAAGTGGGTTTTGGGTTGCAATTTGGGCACTCGGTCTCTAAAAGGTTCGCCATCACTGTACTATACATTCCATGCTGGAAGATGCAAGCGGTTTAAAAACAGAAGCAACCTGTCCAAGTCAAGGAAATAAAGACGGTGAGGTCCACTTTAACAGACTCTGATTGCAAATTGGTGGTACAGTGAGAAGCCCCTAACCCATCTCATTTTCCAGTTTATGCTTCCTCTCTGACATGCATTGGCTAACAGGTCATGAATCCTCAGCTGGGTGTTTGGTTAATTTAACGGATGGAATTCCTCTGCAGTGTGAAGCACTGGGCTACCTCCTAATCACTCAGCTGAATGACAGACACGGCAGCCCATGTCATACCCTCTTTTCCCTTATAACCCTTTCTTGCTGGCAATTTATTGACACAAGTCAATACCCTCCAAAGGAGAGGCTTTTGTCAGGGCTCAGCTCATCTAACCAGTCAACAATTCATCCCTTTCTGAAATCCTTGCAAATCTGAGAGTGGCGTGTTTTCATAATAAGCAAGCAAGCAAGCAAAAAGAGAAGATTTTCCTCAAAGCTGAGCTTTTCTCCTCAACGTGGAGACAAGATTTGATTTGCTTTTTATTTTTGCATATTTTCTTCTTTCTAGGGAGTTGAAGGAAGCAGCGGGGGTAATAAATCATTTTAAATGCCCAGTCCAACCCCGAAGATAGGAAAGATTGAAATATCAAAGTGGGAAGGACCCTGGGATCCATTAAAACTCACTTTCCACAGGACAAATGAAATTGGGTCTAAATATCCTCTAAAACAGGTTTGGATACAAGTTCCTTCTCCTATTTCTGCGTCCATTCTTCCCACACATCTGGCCCATCTCGTTCATCTCATGCAACTATTCAAATCCAGTGGACCTCTAACATTGGTTAACTTTGAGATGTTCACCAAAGGAAGCTTTCTGGTGCTCCAGTCTCCTCTTGGATGGACCTCCTGGACAGTGTGGTAGTAAGAAGTGGCAAATATTTATTCCATAAATTTCCCTGTGTTATGGATTCAGGATATAAGACTTTTTAAAATACCCTCTTGGTGTAACTTCCTTGAGATTTCTCAGAAAACATTGCTATAGCTATTATAACCAGGAAGATGACGCCAATCTGGCCCAACGGCCAGCAGTAATGGAAAAGGGTGGTCCAGTATTTTGAGATCCAAAAGAAGAAAATGCCTGCCCCGAAAGCTTTTCTCCAACCCGTTTCTGAAAAACCTGATCTGCTCTATCACGGAAACGCTAGAACCAACCCTTCTCACAAACAGCATTGCTTTCCTTTTTATTCGGCTTGGAATACAAAACTCAAATACATGTCAAACAGGATCTTTGCTTTCTTTGAAAATGAAAGCACCCTCTCCAGTCACTTTTTCTATTGTCTTTCCATCAGTTTCAATAGCCCACCACAAGCATTCTGGGTTTTGGTGCTGTGGTCCCATTTTCCCCTGTTAAGACTGAAAAAACGAGAGACAGTAGCAATCTGTCACAAACACACCCTGTTCATGTCAGAGGCACTTCTGGGTGGAAAGGATTAGCTGTGACATCACTGTTACCCGGGGGACGCTCGTGGGAGATCTTTTCATGTCCCCATCAGAGAGCTGAAGCAAATGACAGGAGCTCACCCTGCCACTAGCAGCAGCAGCACTTGGGTCTCAAACGTGGGCTTGCTAACCTCCAACACAGCATCTTAACCATGTCAGCCATTGTACTCCACAGCCTGTCGTGATTTGATAATATGCAGTGCCCAGTATGGCTTAACCTGATGACTCATTCTGCAAAACCGAAGGGGATGGCTACATTTCCTACAATACCCTGAACGACACAGTACTTAACTCCATTATAGTTTAATGTAACATGGTGTGCAAACCCAGCTAGTGATGGCCAGCCTTGATAAGCAGTCCAGGATTCTCCCTTTAAACTTAACCCCATTCCAGACTCTAAAGGACTGGAATCCACCACCACACCTTTGTAGCAACTGCAAGATGTTCTTGCAGACATTTTTTTTTTCATGCTTCTCTTCCATGCTCCATGCATTTTCTCTTTCCCCTCCCATTTCTGGACCAGGAAGAGAATCCCAAGCCATGGAAATGCTTACTATTAGTCTTGAGCCTTGCGGGCTCACTATTGCGGCTGCCAGCCTGATTGATTGCCTTGACGAGGAAGATATAGCGCGTGCCGCTTTGCAACCCATGCACTGTATAATGGTTCTGCTTGATGTTGGGGACGATCATCCAGCTGTCCATAGAATTGTAGAGACCTGGAAAATAAAAGAGTAGAACAGCCGTTCTAAATATATATATATATGGGATGAGAGTTAATGTTATGGGAGGAAAGAAGGATGAAGGAGTCTTGGAGGAGATGAGTGTGGGAGGGGTGGGAGGAGTGATCCGGAAGAACGATAGAAGGAAATGCAAGGAGAGTAACAAAGAAACATCTGGAACACAAATTGACCGGCCGGGACCGGTGACGCGGTCCAGGAGCCGGGTGCAAATGTCAGCCAAACCCATTTAAGTCATCATTGTTTACTGGCTTCTTAACCCTGATGATGTTTGAAGTTCCCAAACGAAAGCTCGGCAGCTTTTATTAAAGTATATTTTTATATCTATATTCTCCTGGTGGTCGTATTTTTATTTATACCATAGATAGATAGATAGATAGAGAGAGAGAGAGAGAGAGAGAGAGAGAGAGAGAGAGAGAGAGAGAGAGAGAGGTGCAAATTAAACCAAAGGGGATATAATAGAATAAAGCAGGATGCATTCTTTTTAAAACCTGCTCTGATTTTCCCTATAGCAATTTTAGTGCAAGACACACCGAGGCCAGGAGCCGGCCTTGAGCTTGAGAAAAAAAATGTCACACTTCCCCTGTCTGATCTATGGCCGGAAACTAGCTGAGAGATAACAAAAGCCAGTAAGAGATAAGATGGGCAAACTAAGTGCAGGAAGCGGATTATCAGGCTTACTTTACAAGCCCTGCTCACTGGATACCTTTAATAGGAGATAGCATCTCTTACAAATCACCAAAGTCTAATTTTACACCTTCTTCCTTTGCCCTCTAATCCCAAACAGTAAACAGTTTAGAGAAGGTGATCTTCTAGAGTGTCTAAAGGAAAATAAACATTGGGTATACAAGAACAGGAGATGTTTGAACTGCTAATTCCCAATTTACAAATTATAGCCGTTATGCGTGTGTGGTGTGTACAGGTGCCTCTAAATACAGGGACAAATATTTGCCACCCTGGACTATCTTGATAGCTCTTCCATTGCTATCTCAGCAATCTTCTTGATCTTCTCTATCAATCTTACTTTTCTTGTCCTTCCATCAACCTTGGCAAGCATTTTTTCCCCTAGATTAACATCTGCCTGCATATCATATCCGGAGTAAGTTTCTACTTGTTGATCATTGGCTTAAAGGAGCAGCTAGTCTTTTGTTGGCCCAGGACTGACTGATTCTTCTTGCAGTGCATGATACTTAGCACCCTTCCTCAAATCTATAATTCTAAAGCATCTCCTTTTTCTTGTTCCTTCACAGCTTTACCCTCATGGAGATAACGTGCAACTTTATACCCATCTGATCATGAGACTCCTCTCTGCACAATACTATCTGCACTGCTGGCCTTCTGTCCAATCCACAACACTTTGTCCAGACTTTGGATTAAAACATGAATTTGGACTGGATGGATAGTTTAATTTTAACCAGCATGCTTTTTATAGCGAGAGCCATTTTTTGGTGTTTAAAACATTCTATGGTCCATTCAAGCTTATTGGGAAATAAATCCCAAGAAACATAACTGGACTAATTCCCAAGTTAATTGTTCCATCCTTCATTGAAGGTTAAGCTAGAAGTTCAGTCCCTGGTCCCCAGAGGTAGAACAAAAACCCAGTAAAGCTTGTTCAACAGACAAAGCAGCTTTGAAAATGGCAATACTTGGCATATTCCCTATTGTCCTCCCGTTATTGTTACTCAGTCACTAAGTCGTATCAGACCCTTCGCAACCCCATGGACCACAGCACACCAGGCCCCCTTGTTCCCACCCCCCGTCTCCCAGAGTTTGCCCAAATTCATGTTCATTGCATTGATGACACTGTTTAACCATCTCATCCTCTGCCGTCCCCTTCTCTTTTTGCCTTCCATCTTTCTCAACATCAGGGTGTTTCCCAAGGAGTCTTCTCTTCTCATTTGGTGGCCAAAGTATTTGGGATTCAGCCTCTCTCCTTTCAAAGAACAGTCACGGTTGATGTTCTTTAGGACTGACTGATTTGATCTCCTTGCAGTCCAAGAGACTTTCAAATGTTTTCTCCAAGAGTTTAGTTCTGGCCTCCACAAAGATCTGGATGGACAGAGATGAGCTGCTAATTTTTTTGCTCACAGAAAGCATATTAAAGGTATCTATATTCACCTGTAACCCCTGGCTTTCTTTGGTTTCTCCCCTCCCCCTCTACTTCCCCTTGCCAAATGAAGGTTTGAAAGGAGTGTTGTGATTACCCAACCCAGGCAATACCTGGATGAGATGGTTAGATGCTGTCATAGATGCAACGAACATGAATTTGGGCAAACTCCAGGAGAGTTTGGAAGCCTGGAAGCCTTTTTATCATGTACCTGGAAGAGAGGGAGATAAGAGATCAATCAATCCCTCTTCAGGGATTAATTCACAGGTAGCATCCACTCCTCCCCTACTTACACCTAGTTGTGCAATGTAAGGAGTGGCAAAATGAGGATACAGTGGTTCTCTGCTGCAGCACCTTTTGCAGGGGTCTTCAACCTTGGCCCTTTTATGACTTGTGGACTTCAGCTTCCAGAATTCCTCAGCCAGCATGCGCTGGCTGAGGAATTCTGGGAGTTGAAGTCCACAAGTCATAAAAGGGCCAAGGTTGAAGACCCCTGAGCTAGTGCCACGAGAGACTTGATTTTGTCGCACGGGATGATCTGCAGGAGTAAACTCTGTGATTCAGTTGTGCAAAGGGATCCTTCAAAAAGCAAAGGAGTTCTACAAGAAACCTCCGATGCTTCTTTTCTCTTCCTAACCCTCCCTTCTCTTGGATCTTCCTGCTGTCTGCCTGGAGACACAGCCTCTGTAACTTGCTGGCTGTTTCTTCCAAGCTTTCCACTTGCAAAGATTAGGTTCTGTTGAGGCTGGCAGAGAAGAAGGAATTGGATTGTTCTGCTCCTGGGTGGAAAGAATAGAAGTCCGAGGAGGGGCATAAAATAGAGAAGATATCCACAGGCTCCAGGTGGAGCTGTGTTGTATCAGGTTCCCAAGCAAAATAGTGGCAGAAATTCCCAGTGTGGAACGACACAGCTGGTAGCCTTGAACTTGGCTTAGGGGTGTCAGAGACACAGCCCAGCGTTCCTCTGTAAGAAGCTTGACTGCTGGCTAGGATGAAGCTTACATAAGAGTTCTCCTCTGTCAAAGCAAAGACACAAAATCCTCCTTACGCCCCAAGGCAGTTCAAACTTATTGCTTCTTCCTCCGGTTATATGTCAACAGACTTTAAGCTTCATGACCTTGAATGAATGGCTGTTGATCATTCATATCACCATCAACTTTGCCCAAGAGCCTCTCAGCTTGACTCTCCTTTTTCCAGAATGCCTGGATCTACAACCTTTACATTTCCTCTTCTGCAAAGCCAACAATTGGGGAACACTGATCCATGCTCACAGATTGGGGGGGGGAGAGAAGGAGGGCCATTAAAGCTTTTGACTGACACGCTGGTGACCAAATTTAAAAAGAAACAGGGAGGACCTGACAAAGCCCAACTTTAATTCCTATCTCGACTGAAATCCACTTAGTGAACCTGATTATTCCCCATGAACGTAATGATCTACTATTGTCATCTCCCAAAACACCAGCTTAGGTGGAGAGGGCCTATCCCAGTGGAACATCTCAAGTTATGCACCAAGACCAGGGGTCTTCAAACTTGGCCCTTTTATGACTTGTGGACTTCAACTTCGGCATGGCTGGCTGAGGAATTCTGGGGAGCTGAAGTCCACAAGTCATAAAAGGGCCAAGTTTGAAGACCCCTGACCAAGACCATCAAGTGAGAGGCTGTAGTCCTTTCCGCCCTTGCACTGAACTCGGGTATGATCTATCCTCCCCTTTTTCCTCAAGTTCAGTGGGCTATGCTTTGCTAGAACACTTCTACCTACCAAAAGGAGATTAAACACAGCACCCATCATAACGGTGAGATTTCTCAAGCCAGCGCCATTTCAGAATTGAGGAAAGGGAAGTCATCTGGATTCTTTACACCAAATCACAAAGGAAAGCTGGCAGACCAGGACAAAGCTCGGATGCTTTCTCAACCTTGCTTGCCACAAATAGGGTGGGGAAGTGACAGGCACCAAAGACCAGGTACAGTACACATGGGAAGGTCCACTTCAATAGGATTGTTGCTAAAATGCTTACACTCAGGAATCTTCTCAACCAAAGGTCAGCACCTGCTCGGAATTTTATTTATTTATTTGTAGGATTTATAAGGTCACCCACTCACCCTCAGCGACTCCAGGCAACTTACAAACAGTAAAAAAAAAAAACCAACATAAAAAGAATAAAAACAACAACAGCTAAATAAGGGTCAACTGAATTTGGAGGGGGGGAAATTTAGTCCACTTGTGGCTATGTAGGGATTCTAGGTTAATCCCTCTTTTAACACCACCTCCAGGTTCTGCCACTTCTTCTTCTACTTCAAGCCATCTTAAGGGTGTCTTTGCTTTCTAACAGGACTCGACAAGGCATCCCAATGTAACACAAATAAATTATACTGCGATTATCCGAGTCGGCTTTTAGCCAGCAAATAAAATCAGGGAGGCTTTTTGTTGCTCGAATAAGAAGGATTTAAAGTCAATACAAGCAGGGGATAAGAGATGCAGAATGATAGAGTTGGAAGTTGGGGGGTCTGGCAGCCATGCCTCATTACTTACAAACAACAACTGTTGCGGGAAGCCAGCTTCCCTCCCTTCTCACTATCACGTCAAGTTAAGCAATAGCTGCACAACCTGCCGCTTACTTCTATTGCCTTTCTGATGAGTTTTCTTCCAGGTGAGCTATTAGAGCAACGAGAAACCAGCAAACTACTCAGTTGGTCCTAGAGTACTGAGTGAAAATGCTTGCAATCGATTCCCTCCTCTTCCCTGGACTGTGATTGTATCACACCATTTCTGATGTTGCTAAAGGTCACTCTGAGTTGAGAAGTCAATGGGGTGGAATAGAATGGACAGAGTCTCTAGGAACAGATTGAGCTATAGGTTCTAGCTAGCAATCTATCTGAAGCATATCCAGTAGCCATGGAGCAAGTGGCTACTTCTGACAAGTGCCTCACCATGGGTTCAACTCTGCATCTATGGTCCGGCAAGCCAGATTTGCTCCTACACCTTGTAGTAAGTCATAAGATTTTTTTTTTTTAAAGCAAAGTAGTTAAGTAAGACAACCCAATAAATCTCCTAGAAAAACATCCATAAATTTCCTTCAAAGAGCCTTGAAAGAATTCAGTGGCTTATCAGGGAAAGCTCAATGAAGAGATTAGTTACACCACAAGAGAAGATCTAGCTTCTCTATCGTGCACTGGAGAGACAGGGATAATTCTTGCTTGGACAACTGTGAAGGCCAAGATCCTTGATGGATTCATGCTCTATCTTCCACACATCACCCAACCACTAATTAACTTTTTATGAGACAGTCTAGCATAGTCACTTATCTTCTATAGCCTGGAGTTTAGGAAGGTCTGAAGGCCAGCAAAGTCCCAGAATTCTGCATCTTCAAGGAACGGTTGAGTATTCAATTGAGGCCTCCATCACCCACCATCTAAATCTTGACAACTTTTAAGACTTGTGGATTTCAACTCCCAGAACCTGCTGGGGAATCTTGGGGATTGAAGTACACAGGTCTTAAAGTTTCCAAGGTTGGACACCCCTGATCTAAATATTTTTTATGAGCTAATGGAAAGCAGGGGAGGGGGATTTTCAATCTAGTTTGGAGTTGGAAAGAAGTAGGTGGGTAGAGCTTCTGACCTCATCTGATCCCGAGATTTTAACGTGCTTCCCCCCCAGAAATGGTGCAGCATTGCCTACATATTTGTTCAACGGAGCACAGAACAGGAAAAATCCCCCATCCCATAATACAAATGCACCCTTTCTCCATCCAGCAATTTCCAGTGATATCCAAATATCTTAGTGAATTTGAAGTACATGCATGGGAAAGTACATACATTTTCTTTCCTGGAAATCCATCCTTCAGATAAGCAAATACTTGGGTCCATCTCAATTCCTTCCTCTCCAACTAATTGGTCAGGACAGGGAGAAAATGAATCTGAGGTTGCAAGCCATGTCTCAGGAGCATTCAAGAGAGCTGTGATGGCACAGTGGTTAGAATGCAGTATTGCAGGCTAACTCTGCTGACTGTCAGCAGTTCAATCCTGACCGGCTCAAGGTTGACTCAGCCTTCCATCCTTCCGAAGTCGGTTCAATGAGGACCCAGATTGTTGGGAGCAATATGCTGACTCTGCAAACTCCTTATAGAGAGTGCTGTAAAGCACCATGAAGTAGTATATAAGTCTAAGTGCTATTGCTACATAAGACCCATAGTGGCGCAGTGGCTAGAATGCAGTATTGCAGGTTAACTCTGCCCACAGCCAGCAGTTCGATCCTGATGGGGCTCAAAGTTGACTCAGCCTTCCATCCTTCCGAGGTGGGTAAAATGAGGAGCCAGACTATTGGGGGCCATATGCTGGCTCTGTAAACCGCTTAGAGAGGGCTGTAAAGCACTGTGAAGTGGGTATACAAGTCTAAGTGCCATTGCTATTGCTATTCATTCAAGTTACCCACAGCTACACTGCAATGGTCAAGGTTGAGTAGCAGTCTACCTCAATCACGGTACCAGCAGAAACTGAAGAAACAGTGACTTACTGATAAAGTTGGCCTGGCCGGTGAAGATGGTATACTGGAGCTCATATGAGCTGATGCTGAACTCATCATCTGAGATCCAGTGGACAGTGATGGTGTCATGGGAGGCGGTGCAAAGCTCTTCACGGACAGAGGGTGGGTTGGGTGCTGTAGAAGCAATAGCAGACAAGATGTGAGCAGGTTCCTGTCCTCCTCAGGAGAAAGCATTCAGGGAATGTATCTTTGTTTTACAAAGGTAAAGGTCTCTCCTGTTCAACTCTGGGGGACTGTGTACATCTCTGTTTCTTAGTCAAGGGAACCAGCATTGTCCACAGACAATTCCATGGTCCTATGGTTGGCATGACTATATGCCGAGGTGCACGGAATGCTTTTTCTCATTGAAGTGGTTCCTATTTATCTACTTGCATGTGTCTGCTTTTGAACTGGCAGGAACTGAGGCAGGTAGCAGGAGCTCACCCAATCACACGGTGCTTGGGTCTCAAACCTAGGCTATGAGCTTTTCAACCGACAAGCTCAGTGATTTTAACCATGGAGCCAATGTGCCACTTGCCTTTGTTCTATATCTTGTGGATTGACTGAAATTTACAGCCTAGTTGTGACAGAAGGTGGAACCGGCCACTGAGAAGGGAAAGGACAACCTAGGGACATTATAGAAAAGATATTAGAGTCTTAGGAAAGTGGGGTGCGTGAGAAAGAAACTCAAAGTAACTTTGCCTTGATTTTGTTCGGTATCTGCTAAAATGAACTGGGGCTGTGGCAAGCTTTCAGAGTTTCGTTATAATACCCTAACCACATTATGCAGCATGTATGTACTTATGCAGGGTGTATGTACTTATGCAGCCAGGAATGCTGGAATTTCCATTGCTAAATGGGGTGATGATGTGGCCTTCCCACTTAACAAGTGCATTACGTAGCGATGGAAATTCGAGTCCCAATTTTCATTGCTAAGTGAGGACTAGCTGTCCATTTATACCAGGGCTCTCCAAACCTGGCCACTTTAAAACTTGTGGACTTCAACTCCCAGAATTCCTCAGCCAGCAGGAATTCTGGGAATTGAAGTCCACAAGTCTTAAAGCGGCCAAGTTTGAAGACCCCTGGTTGAAACCATACTGATGTGAACTTTGCAGCAGGGCACCCCTGTCTGGTGTTCTACGTAGCGATTCTTGTTCTCTTTTGCACCGGGCTGACAGAAATACATTCCCTTTCTAATACCAAGTAGGTTTTACTCTTGAGGTTATACAAGGCACAAAAGGAATGAAGCAAATTGCATCCCCTCTATTTATCCACCAAAGTCCACAAAATAAAAAACAAGGGGAGGGGGAGGGGAAGCAGAGCAAGGTTGGGAAAGGAAAGAAGCCACCGAAGACTTAAGACTGCCGAATCGGCACAAACCTGTTAGATAATCCAACCCCTCCAGCAATTTCTTCTCTCTGGAAAAATCTAAAGCAAAGTTTTCAAAGGCATCGTTAAAATTGATATCGGGGATCAAAACTTGAGAGGACGCAGTTGCCATGGCAACCCTGAAAGACAGAAAAAAGAGCATCGCTAACCATTAGGTGCGGCTTGTCATTCCCAGGCGGCACTTTGATTTTTGATGAAAGAGCTGGAAACTGCCTTGCCATGTTGTAAACTCTTGTAGCAAAGGGGATGGGTGGGGGGGGGAGGAGAGGGGGGCTGGGGAAGGGGAGAGAGAGAGAGAAGAGAGAGAGAGAGAGAGAGACAGAGACAGAGACAGAGACAGAGAGAGAGAGAGAGAGCGAGATCAGCAGGACAAAGATGGTGGAGACATCCTGAATTTGGAAGGCAAGACAAAAGACCGGAAGCCGGATGAAGGCCGTCTGATCCACCTAACCCAGTTCATTATTCCATTCCTTCATTTATTATTTACTTTATTCCTGGTATTTCTACGCCGCTCGGCTGCAAAATGGCTCCAAGAAAAATACAGCAGAAGGAGAAGTTTAAAACATCAAAACAATATTACTAATCAGCAAAGACAGATCATTGATCTCAGCAAGGGCTGCTTGCCTGAAAGAAGGGCTGGAATACATTAACCACGTATAGCTGAATTAATTATTAAGTTATGTATCAAGTCTATAAAGGCCAGAATGGCATCAACTGGCCTCTAATGCTGATCTTTATGTAACGCTCTTGCATAAGGACTACGTGTTGCTTGATGCTGGGCTGTTCTCAGAATGAATCTGCTTGTGAAGATGGAATGAGATCCATTCAAAGCAAGTCCAAAGGTGGAAAATGTTTTATTCAGGAAGATTTCTCTAGACTAGATGGATAGTCTAGAGCAGTGATGGCGAAACTTTTAGAGACCGAATGCCCCAAAACTGGCCCCGCCTCCACTCCACCCCCTGTCCCGCCTCCATCTGCCCGCAGGGCCACTCACTGCCTCCAGGGCCCACTGCAAATCACCCAGGTAGCCCAGCAGCACCATGGCCACGCCCTCTCCCCGCGCCCTGCAGCATCAACTCTGCGCGATGGGGTGTGAGGGCAGAGTCTTGTCTATGCTGTCCGGCTGCCATGTCCTTGACTGCGCTGCTCCGCGTGGGCCATGCTTGGCGACTCTTCTCCAGGGGGGCTGCTGTTGAGGAGGGGGTTGCGGGGGGAGGCAAGGCTGGGGCAACAGCACGTGTGCCCACAGAGAGGGCTCCGAGTGCCGCCTCTGGCACCAGTGCCATAGGTTCACCACCACTGGTCTAAAGAAAAGAAAGACTAATGGCAACATGATAGCAGTGTTCCAGTATTTGAGGGGCTGCCACGAAGAAGAGGGGGTCAACTTATTTTCCAAAGCACCAGAAAGCAAGACAAGAAACAACAGATGGAAACTAATCAAGGAGAGAAGCAACCTGCAATTAAGGAGAAACTTCCTAACAGTGAGGACAATTAACCAGTGGAACAGCTTGCCTCCAGAAGTTGTAGATGCTTCATTACTGAAGGTTTTTAAGAAGAGACTGAACAGCCACTTGTCTGAAATGGTATAGGGTCTCTTGCTTGAGCAGGGGGCTGGAGTAGAAGACCTCTAAAGTCCCTTCCAGCTCTATTCTGATTGATTGATTGACTGATTGATTGATTTCAGATTATGCAACATGTGGGAGGTATGTAGCATATGGGTTTCAGTAGCCCAGTTTGGCTGCCAGTTAGGTGTGTCTTTCCCATTTTTGGACCTTGGGTCTCCCTCTGGGTCTACACTTCCCTTCTCTCGTGGAAGTCATGCTTGGATCCTACTTCTCCCTTCCTTCCTCACCAGGAACTGACAACTGCTTTGCAAACTTAACTTCTCTCTCTTCAGCTTTTCACTTCACACAAATGAAGAACTGGATGTCTGCTCAGAGAAGACCCTTCTGGAGGAAGATGAATGAGCAGTGGGATTCCTACTATTGATGCTTCCCATCATACGGTGTTTAATGTACAGGATCTGCCCTTTTTCTAGCATCTGCAGGATGCATTGAAACTTTTGTGGATGGCCAGGAAAAAAATATCTCTGTGTTGTTTGAAATAGAAGCCGAAGCGTTGCACGGACTTCTGAACAGGCTGAGTATCTTGCTGGTTTCTATTGTAGTTGGAAAAATCTCTCTAAAGCTTTTGAGCCCTACTTGGAGGCAAGGAGTTCCACGGGATTAAGAGCTTCTGTCTTATAGTAGACTATCTCTGACCATTGTCAAACACAAAGACAGTCAGCGTCCTTGTATGACTTTTGTTGTGATGCTACTCATGGAATATTCCGGAACTTACAAAACCTGGGACAGGGGTTCCTTGGGAAGAGAGCAGCTGAGGAGGGGGCCAACGACTAAAAAACACACAGATTTTAAGCCAGAATTGTTTTTGTTAGGCATGATTGTAGGAAACTATGAGAAAGAGTGTCTATATCTAATTTTACATGTATCAACTGCAGCAAGAATTGTATTCGCTCAACATTGGGAAAGTGTAGATTTGCCAACGGAGGTAAGAGTTAATTTAAAAAAAAATAGATTGTGCAGAAATGGATAGATTGACATTGAAAATGAAAGAGAAAGAAGATTCAGTATATTTTGGAACATGGGATACCTTTTATCAATGGCTAGAAAAACAAGGTAGAGAGAAAGGAATCTAACATGTATTAGTAAGATAAATGTTGGAATCCAGACAATATGTTGCTGATAAAATATTAAGCACGTGATTATTTTATATATATATATATATATATATATATATATATATATATATATATGTATATGTATATGTGTGTGTGTGTGTGTGTGTGTGTGTGTGTGTGTGTGTGTGTGTGTAGGTCTTTGGTTATTCGGGTTTTCTCCCACATAAAATTGGAAGTGTCTTGGCAACGTTTCGACAAAGTCTCATTCGTCATCTTCAGGCTGGTGCTTTCGGCTTTGTGCTTCTAGGAGCACAAAGCCTAGAAGCACGAAGCCGAAAGCACCAGCCTGAAGATGAAGAATGAGACTTCGTCGAAACATTGACAAGACACTTCCAATTTTATGTGGGAGAAAACCTGAATAACCAAAGACCTACATACAAACACCTGCGAAAACCTCAGAATATATATATATACACATACACACACAGACACACAGTATATATATATACACACAGTATATATATATATAAAAGAATTCTTAGCAAAACAACACCTGACACCCTCCCCCCCATTATCTTTGGAATGCTACCTTTCTGCCACATTCTTCGCTGTTTGCAGGAACCGTGCATGATCGCTCTCTTTCAAGATGTGTTCAGCTTGGTTGATGAGGACCGTGGACCGTTCCAGGCACTGCCGGCAGTTGGCTACCTGCTGGGCTAGTTTCCTCAGCTTCATCACCTTGGAGAACAAAAACAGAGGATGCTACAACAACAACCAGAATCTCATTAGCAGGCATCATGATTGGAGAAAACAGCAAGGTGTCTAAGGCATCCCTTTAAAATTAAGGGACAGGGGAGCGAAGTAGAGAATGAGCTAGCAGATGAAAGAAAGTTGATGGGGATCCAGATCCTGCAGGGTGATCTCGCTGCCAGATCGATTCTGGGAAAGGAAGAATTATAACAATTACAGGCAGGGAGAGATCTTCTCAGTGGGGGACCAGACTTTCAGACTGCAGGATAATATGTACTTAGTAGCTCATGGAATCATTAGCAGCTTCCATAATGAATTTGTGAAAACATTTCCACTCTCTGGTCCATCCCTCTGTCAGGGTTAGCTAGACCCAGAAACAGAAATTCTCATGTTTTGTTTGGTTTTAAACTTCTAGCATTCTCTCAGTTCCAAATTTTGCTTCAGAGGATAAAGGGAATTTTAAAGAAATATTCATGGATGGCATGTGGTTTTCTTGCACTAATTTGACAATAGAGCAATTCTGGAGTAGATGTTCTTATTTTCACTGAACATTCTGCAAGTCACTACATTTCTCTAACTTTCCATGGCCAATAAATTGGATGGATGGATGTGTGGGTAGGTGCGTAGGTGGGTAGGTAGGTAGGTAGGTAGGTAGGTAAGTAGGTAGGTAGGTAGGTAGGTAGATAGATAGATAGATAGATAGATAGATAGATAGATAGATAGATAGATAGATAGATAGATAGATAGTTTCCATCTGATCCCAAAGGAAGAAATCCAGAGGAAGCGCAATAAAAGGAAAGAATCCCATCCTTGAAAAATGGGAGAATTTTTCTTCCTCTTGGAGGAATTCAGGGAAGCTGTCCACCTAATCTCTGGAGAGCATCAACCAAACACTTGTGTCTTGCTGTAGCTTTAACTTGTTACACCTCTCTCCTTCATTTCTGCTATCTTTCAGCTCTTTCTAAATACAAGTGAACATGTAAAGAAGGTCCCTAGGAACTGAGTCTTGGTGCCTCCTGGTGGTCAATGTCACCACAACTGGATATCTTTTCGTTATTCCAGTTTTATTCTACTTGGTGTTTGGTTGAAAAGTGCTGAATACATTGAATTAGAACGGGGAGGGGGACATCAGATATCTGATCCAAATTCCTCCTTTGTTGACCTTAGAGGTCATCTAGTCTTCAAACAGAAGACCCTATCCCATTCCAGACAAATGGCTGTCCAGTCTCTTCTTGAAAACCACCAGTGATGGATCACCCACCACTTCTGGATGTTCCACTGCTTAATTGTTCTCACTGTCAGGAAATTTCTTTTTATTTCTAGCTTGCTTCTCTCCTTGATGAGTTGATAAATGACTAGAGTTCACCTCATGTTCCCCAGTTGGAAAGCATGATTCTGGAAAGCCAGGTTTAGTAGTTAAGGCAGGTTTGCAAAAATAAAAATGCAAACATGAAGGCATATGCTAATCACCAACCATCTTCTTTAGGCTTTTCTTTCTCTTGGAGGAAGCTGAGGACGCTGCGAAAAGCAACAAAGATGATTAGGGGGCTGGAGGCTAAAACATACGAAGAACGGTTGCAGGAATTGGGCATGTCTAGTTTAATGAAGGCTGTGAAAGTTGGACCATAAGAAAGGCTGAGCGTCAAAGAATTGAGGCCTTTGAACTATGGTGCTGGAGAAGACTCCTGCGAGTCCCTTGGACTGTAAGGCGTTCAAACCGGTCAGTCCTAGAAGAGATCAACCCCGACTGCTCTTTAGAAGGCCAGATCCTGAAGTTGAAACTCAAATACTTTGGCCACTTAATGAGAAGGAAGGACTCACCGGAGAAGAGCCTGATGCTGGGAAAGATGCAAGAGAAGAAGGGGATGACAGAGAATGAGATGGCTGGATGGAGTCACTGAAGCAGTAGGTGTGAACTTAAATGGACTCCAGAAGATGGTAGAGGACAGGAAGACCTGGAGGAACATTGTCCATGGGGTCGCGATGGGTCGGACACGACTTTGCAATTAACAACAACAACAAGTTTAATGAAAAGAAGAACTAGGCAGGGGGGAGACATGGTAGCAGTCTTCCAATATTTGAGGGGCTCCTACAAAGACGAAGGGGTCAAACTATTTTCCAAAGCACCGAAAGACAAGGCAAGAAATAATGGTTGGAAACCAACCGAGGAGAGAACCAACCTAGAATTAAGGAGAAATTTCCTAATGGTGAGAACAATTAATCAGTGGGACGGGTTGCCTCCGGAAGTAGTGGGCGCTCCATCACTGGAGGCTTTCATAAAGAGACTGGACAACCAGTCCAAGAGACTGGAATTATATGGGGTCTCCTGCTCGAGCAGGGGGTTGGGCTAGATGACCTCCAAGTTCCCTTCCAACTCTATTATTCTATGTACTATGGCTCCTCCAGAGTCCCTGGAGCCCAAAGGAAGAGTGAGGAGTATTTCATATTACTTTGCCACCATTATTACAAAGACTGCATAATGACATTGTTTTATCCCCTCTCTGGTGCAATGGGAGTAAAAAGGGTTGTGTGTGGAAAGTTGTTGTTTCATCCCAGCTGCCTCTTCCAGGGAGACGCACCTTGCATACCTAGCTCCACCCGATTCCTTCCCTAGGATTACTGGATTATTTCTATGCTTTGCAGGGAACAGGGAAACATGACAGCAACTCTCCAAACACTTCCTTGTCAGCTTCTAAATCTGAGCTGAAGTAGCTGCCAAGGGCAGGCTGTCAGTCTGAGCCCCTCTCTGACAAGTGACGGGGAAACTAGAAGAGACCCACGCCCACGGCTGAAATGTGGCAGCAACTTTCGCTGTGGGTGCCTGCCACTTCTGTCAAAGAAGGTGCGATTAACCCTTGCCCCAACGGCAGCCTCAACTCCATTCCTACGTCGCCTGGAACGTTTACCTTTGCTCTGCTCAAACTCTTATGTGGTTGTTGGTTTTTTTTATTTGTTTGTTTGTTTTTGCTGGGTTTTGTTTTTTATACTCTTGCATCCAGAAGTCCTAGATGAAAGGCAATACAAAATCTGCAAGCAAGCCTCAGCCTACAAAACAAGAATTCACAGGAGGCGTTCTCTGAGCTTGGTTGGTTTCTTGCAGACATTTCATTTCCCAAACTAGGTAACATCATCAGGGCTAATGTGCGCTTTCTGAGGTGTTTGGCACCAACAAAGGAGAATATTTGTAGGGTTGAAATTAGGGGTCCTTGGTGCTCTCTGAGCTTGCTTTCATTCCCCAGACTAGGTAACATCATCACTGCTAGCATAGATGAAATGTTTGACTAAAGCTATTTTCCAAAGCGCCTGAAGACAGGACAAGAAGCAACGGATGGAAATCAATCAAGGAGAGAAGCAACCTAGAACTAAGGAGAAACTTCCTGACAGTGAGAACAATTAACCAGGGGAACAACCTGCCTCCAGAAGTGGTGAATGCTCCAACACTGGAAGTTTTTAAGAAGAGACTGGACAGCCATTTGTCTGAAATGGTATAGGGTTTCCTGCCTGAGCAGGGGGTTGGACTAGAAGACCTCCAAGGTCCCTTCCAACTCTATTATTATTATTATTATAAACCACCAAGCTCGGAGGGTGCCAAGGACTTCTCATTTCAATCCTGAGTTACAAATATTCTCCTTTGTTGGCAAGAATTCACAGCTAGCCATTCCATTCCCCACAATCTCAAACTTAGGGGTTAGAGTCCCACACTATAGCAGACTAAAATGAGGTTGAGTAAAGGGTTCAGTGTATGGTGGAAACCCAGCCATCATTCAACCTCATTCGTCTTGTATGGCCATACTCCATTCTCTAACTGAAATGAGCAGGTCAGTAGTAATTCATTCTCTCTCTCTCTCTCTCTCTCTCTCTCTCTTTCTCTCTCTCTCTCTCTCCCTCTCCCTCCCTCCCCCCCGCTCTCTCTCTCCCCCTCTCTCCAGCTCCAATACCTGTTTTCTTTCTACATGAGGCTCCCACCTACTCTCACCTTAAAGTTCCCTCCAGCACAAAAGGTTTCTTGGTTACACGCGAGGAACTGTCACTGAGAAAATCAGAGCTGAGGTAGGAAAGCAAGCATCCCCTATTTCTGGCAAGGCAGAAATAGAATAAATTTTTAAAAAGCCGTCAGCTATATTGTCACAATACCATTAATGAGAGGGAAAATAAAATGCAGGGAATGTTATCAAAGATAAAACGGCAAACATTCAAAGAAAGCAGCACCAAATATGATGGCAAGCCTATCTTACACCGCTTTGTTCCAGTTTTTAGCCAAGGGAAAAAAGATGTAAGAATAGAAGACAGAATAACAGAGTTGGAAGGGACCTTGGAGGTCATCTAGTCCAACCCCTTGCCCAGGTAGGAAACCCTACACCATTTCAGAAAATTGGTTGTCCAATCTCTTCTTAAAAACTTCCAGTTTTGAGGCAAGAAGAGACTGGACAGCCATTTGTCTGACATGGTATAGGGTCTCCTGCTTGAGCAGGGGGTTGGACTAGAAGACCTCCAAGGTCCCTTCCAAATCTCTTATTCTGTATTTTGGAGGTAATTCACTCCATCCAATAAAGATTTACAAAGCCAACCCTTGGAAACTTTAAGTAAGCTTTCAGAATAACACTTCCAGGCTAGAATTGCCAAATATGTATCACAATTGAGCATTTTAAACCTAAAATTTGCTTCTTGATCTTTGCAGGGCCCATCTTCAAAAATAACCCCATGTCAGATGATCAACTACTCCCCCATTATGGGAGATGTTATAGAGGAGCACGGTTTCCCAGTCAAGGAGTGCAAAGCAGAGATCCACCCTCCAAATCTACATCTTCTAGATACAAGTGGAGATATTTAGATGTGGTTATCTCTCTTTGATAGGTGGAAATTATGACATTTGGACTCCAGAATCTTTATCTGGGATCGATAAATTATTCTATCTGTGGAGATCCTCAATCATCCAAATCATGGTTGTCCCAAAGGTGCGTTTTCCAAAAGACACCTGGATTTTCTTGTTTTTTTTCCCTTGAAAACATTTCACTTCTCACCCAAGATGCTTCAAGAAGAAGAAGAAACACAAGAAAATCCAGCTGTCTTTTGGAAAAGCACCTTTGGGATATATGGCAAGTATATGTAACAAGAATAGGGCAGTCCTTTGATTTTCTGGGGTTAATCTTACCGGAGTCTCTGAGCTGTCTAGAGAGAAACAAGCATTGGCCAATTCCAAGCTCTGATGAACAAGCAAACATCCTCTTCTCCCAGCATAATGCCTGAAATCTTCTCTTTCAGACTGAAGGAGAGAGGTGAAAAGTCTTGGGCCAGGCTGAGGACAGACACGTCTTGTGATGGAATTGTACATTTACAGCCAGTGACAATTTAATTGATATCAGATGTTGTGCTCCACTCTAGGCTGCTCCTGCTATCTTGTCACAGTTGGCCAAACATAACTAATAAAAAGAAGCATTGGCCAAGGGCATTGTGTTGCTGTTTAATCCAACAAGGTGTTGGAACCAAATTTGATTTCAAGAGCAACGGGAGTTTCTATAATTGCCCAGTGTTGGAAGCTCCAGAATAAAGAAAGAACAAGAAAAAATTGACAGTGTCCCCAAAGGCTGTTTACTACTGCCTGAGCAGACAGCAAAGACAAAATCCAGCAGAAAATAAGCAAAAATGGTGGAGGATTTCTAACCAACAAAGAGGGAAAAAATTGCTTTGTGGCTGAACGTCTCCAGTTCAATCTTTGAACTCTTCACTACCAAAACAAGGGGTATGAAAGGAAGTGATTAAACAGGTCTAGAAAACTTTTGTGAGTTAGGGAGTCATGGACCTCAATAAGCACTCACCATACTCCTGCTCCATTAGAATTTGGCATTCTAAAAAGCTTCTTTTCATTTTAAATCTGAAGGATGCTTGTTGCAAAGTCAGACTAATCTACTGGGCCAGTTTCTGGCATCACATTTATTTACAAGAATGCTTTTGGGTCTTGAGTAAGCCCTAGATGCATTTTGAACAAGTAAACATTCTGGGTGCCTACATGCCTTAAAATGGGTCCATAACAATCGACACAAGTTGGCAGGAGTAATGCAGAACATTCTAGGAACCTGAAGGAAGAACTTCCTTCAACTTGACCTCTAGTAAACCAGTGTTTTATGGCTTGCTGTACCCATCAAGACAGTTGTCTTGTGAATGGGCAATCTTCCCATGATGCCATTATGGGACAGATATTTTAAAAATGTTAAACGTGTCTCCAGATCAAAGAAATTGAGGTCCCCCTGGAAGTTCATGGACAAGCAGTCCAACCAGGTACAAGAATAACACTTGTATTCTTGGAAAAGTTGACTCTTCTGGCATAAAATGGGCTTAGCTCTCCTAAGAAATGATCTTCTCTTGGATATCTTCCGGGTTTTTTCAGCCGGAAATTTAACTACAAGGCAGCTGTGCAGAACAAGTAGCAGCTTTCTTTCTTCCACCCTGCCAAAATCTGCAGGTACAGTAGCTCCATTCCTGCCAATCTTTCTCTGCTCACCTTCTTTCTTCATTACTGGAAAATGTCACAGCCAATGCTATGCAAAAGGAAGGTGCTCATTCCAGCAAACAGCAGGCAGACCAGGCTTCAAACAGCTGTTTGCACAAGGAAATGACTCTCCTGCTGAGATTTAATGGGTTGATGGATGGTTCATTTATGCCCAAACTCATCAAGAAGATGATCCGGAGATAGAAAAGGGGGAGGGACAGTCAGAAGAAGAGGGAGCTACAATACCTGGTGAGAGGAGCATGGTAAAATGTCAAGCAGGTTTTAATCTACCTCCAACACCTTAAAAATGCTGCAAAGGAAGCATCCTGCGTTATCCTAATCAAGGAGAGAAGCAACCTAGAACTAAGGAGAAATTTCCTGAGAGTTAGAACAATTAATCAGTGGAACAGTCTGCCTCCAGAAGCAGTAAATGCTCCAACACTGGAAGTTTTTAAGAAGAGACTGGACAGCCATTTGTCAGAAATGGTATAGGTTTCCTACCTGAGCAGGGGGTTGGACTAGATGACCTCCAAGCTCCCTCCCAACTCTGTTATTCTGTTGTGTTCTGAGAAATGTCAGATTTCACAAACCAAAGTATTTGACATCTCAAAGCAAAGATCTACTACTGCTATTGAAATCAGAACAAAACACTTTGCCCTCAGCTGTCAGATTTCCCTCCTGTTTCCCCCCCCCCCACTTTGATGCCAAATCTAAGAGGGCAGAAACACTGCCCAGACATTTTCAGAAATCCAAAGCTTTGACCCGAGAACACACAAAACCCTCTTGCTAAAAATATTCTCCACCAATGGGGAAAAAAACCAATCCTGAAATCGTAATCGCCAGCTGTCTTTTTCTTGTTGACTTTTGGGGAGGTGAGCAGTTGATATGATTCGTGTTAGCTTTGTCAGTCATGCAGTGCCTTCTGGCACTGGGCTCCCTCTTCTGCTGGTCTTCTACTCTCTAAGATTCTAAGGAGTCGTTTTAATTTCACGCATGTCTTGGGAATTTCAAACAATCGAAGCTGGGCAAGGATCATACCTTGCAGGAGCCCATCTAGGAGCAGCTGCAACTCATGGCACAGAAGTAACAGTCACCTGGACACATGTCCCTGTCTGATTCACAAGGCAGAGAGACTTGTAATACCCACATAACAAACATCTTTTTTTCATTCAAAAACGGACAGTCTCGGCACGCTGTGCCTTTACTGTCAGGCCAACTTGATGTGATCACTGAAGGAGCTGCTAATTTTTCTCTGATGGCTAAGTTCATGAATATTAAGTTGGTAGTTTATGAACCGTTCATGAATATTAAGTTGATAATGGTGTACTTGTTTAGGGAATATATTTCTGTGGTGGCCGGTTTGGGGAATCTGACCATAACAATCATACTTATTGTTATTAAGTATTAAGAGCCGTGGTGGCACAGTGGTCAAAAGGCAGTATTGCAGGCTAACTCTGCTCGCTGCCAGAAGTTCGATCCTGACTGGCTCAAGGTTGACTCAGCCTTCCATCCTTCCGAGGTCGGTAAAATGAGGACCCAGATTGTTGGGGGCAATATGCTGATTCTATAAACCGCTTAGAGAGGGCTGTAAAGCACTGTGAAGGGGTATATAAGTCTAGGTGCTATTGCTATTGTTATTATTGCTGTATTTTGCAGTGGAAACCAAACAGTTGGACAACAGAAGAGTTGATCTTCTGGAAAGTAATCTATAAACTCATAAAGGAAGCTGGCTTGCCAACCAAATAAGGCACTGAGGTTCTATCACACCAAGAGAACAGCTGCCCTAAAGAGAAACACTCAGAAATAAAGTGGGCTTTGCACTCAGTCAGCATCTTCTGTTAACCATTCCAACTCCACTCCCGTCTCCTAACAGCATTGCTGTCCTACCTTCGTCTCTTTGATCTTGACAGCGATCACTTGCTTGCGCTGGCGGATGATGTCCACTAACTTATCGCATTCCTCCATCAGTTTGGCCTCATGCATGGCTGTGTTTACCTAAACAGGAGAGAAAATGGAGGGGAAGGAGGAACTGGTAAGAATGGAGCAGAGTGAGGACTGTGTATGTCCTGTCTATAGCAAATGCTATACGAGTTTGATCTAGTGGTTAAGCCAGTAGGCTAGAATTTGGGAGACGGTGAGTTCTAGTCCCACCTTAGGCATGAAAGACAACTATCTGACTTTGGGCCAATCACTAGGAGACTGTGAGTTCTAGCCCCGCCTTAGCCATGAAAACCAGCTGGGTGACTTTGGGCCAGTCACCAGGAGACTGTGAGTTCTAGCCCCGCCTTAGCCATGAAAACCAGCTGGGTGACTTTGGGCCAGTCACCAGGAGTCTGTAAGTGGAACAACTTGCCTTCAGAAATTGTGGATGCTCCAACACTGGAGGCTTTTAAGAAGAGATTGGCCAGCTATCTCAGGAGTGAAAGCCACGTGGGCGACTTTGTGCCAGTCACTCTCTCTCAGCCAAACCCACCTCACAAGATTGTTGTGGGGAAAAAGAGGAGGAGGGAGGAATGTTACGTGTGTTTGCTGCCTTGAGTTACTTATAAACAGTAATAAAAGGTGGAATAAAAAAGTGTTGCACACCAGAAGAGGTTATGGTGGCTGGGTTGGAAACCAGTGGCCTTCCTGATGTTGTGGGCTTACATCTCTCCTTGTCCCTCACAGCTGGATGAGGAAAGATGAAGCTCAGCAACAACTGGAGAGCCACAGATTCCAGCAACCTCTAGAATAGACAGCTGCCATCTGGAGCAAGGGAGAGACATCATGTTTTCATCTGACGTGTGTTTTCCCAAACAAAATTATACCATTATTCCAACTATATCTGTGGGGTACCAGGGCAGATTTTGAGAATTAAACCAGCCCTTGGGAAAAGGGACAAGCATCACCTCCTTCCCTGTAGCTTGCCTGCTCTTCCTGCTGCCTCCTGAGGCTATTTTTCATTTTGAAAAATGGTGCTCTGTTACCAAATACACACCACACATTCCTGCCTCGTATGAAATTTCCCCACGGTGATTATTTCTCACTGGTCTACTCATCAAAAGCCAAGCATCGGCTAGGTGGAAAAGAGAGGACACAAAAAGCTTTTCTGTAAAGTTTAAGAAGACGGCTTTGGGATTATGGGCGCATATATGTGCTTGTGGTTTCAGTCCACATCATGGTGAATTCCTCAGTTATCCAAATACGCATCAGTGCCTGTCTTCAGAGTTGCAGATTATTGAAACATGCTCAGAGCAAGTGCGTTCATTCCTATCTTACCAATTTTATGGGGCGGGGAAGGGTAGCAAATTTGGCTTCCATCCTATATTGTGTCCTGACGACAGAAAAGGTAAAGGTTTCCCATGTCCAGTCGTGTCCGATTCTAGGGGATAATGCTCGTCGTAGTTTCTTAGCCAAGGGAACCAGTGTTGTCCGAAGACACTTCTGTGGGTCATGTGGCCAGTATGAGTATATGCCAAGGCATGTGGAATGCTGTTACTTTCCCACTGAAGTGGTACCTATTTATCTATTTGTATTTGCATGCTTCCGAACCGTCAGGTGGGCAGGAGCTGAGGCAGGAACGGGAGCTCACCCCACCCTGTGGTGCTCAGGTCTCAAACCTGGGCTGTCAGCTTTCCAGCTCACAAGCTCAGTGTCTTTAACCAAAAACAAAACCAACAATGGCTGCACACATTCACCCCAGTTCCCCTTTCAAACATCACAAACATCACGTAGAATGGAAGAGCTCTGTATTTCCACCATGTGCAAGTTGGCTTGTTTAAATATGGCCGTGCTAGTCTTTCCTGGCATCTGCAAGTCATTTGAAGCCAACGGACAGAAGGATGTTTAACCCAGGGAGACATTTTTCTCCATGAGTCACTGGCACCACATGCCACGTCATTAAAAATGGGCACCTTTAATCTGCCCGTTTTTTCCCCTAATACAAAAAGGCAGCCTCTGGGGAGGAAGGACATAACCGTGAAGATCAGAGGAGAAAAAAAGAGGCAGTTATATCTCTTTTCACAGGGGTTCTGACAAAATCAGAGAATGCTAACATTTAGAAAATGTTAACGTTTTGCATTGCAGGAAATCCTCCTATGCGCTGCACAATTAATTCCTCAGGAAAGGGGGGGGGAAGCAAATAGTTGAGGGGGGAAATTGCATATTAACTCTTCAACTCTGCTATTGCTGAGACCTTTTCTCCAAAGGCCAGTTCTGTTTCAGAATTTCTGGCTTGGCTAAGAGGGCGTGATCAGTCTAAGGGATCCAGGCAGAGAAGAGATGGTGGGGCGTCTCTTTAATATTAAAACCCTTTCCTGCTGCATCGTTTGCTCTTTTTCTTTGAAGACTGGCTAGATGGAAGCTAAAATGGAGGGGGGGAGAAATGCATTTTCTTCAGCGGTGCTAGAAGGGGCAATTGACAGAGCTTAAAACTTGTAAATGAAGTGGAAAACTGCAACCCCGAAGGGAGATTTCTGAAGACTCCCAATTGAAAAGAAAATTGCAAATCCCATTTGACGCGACCATTACAGGGTTCCGGGTCTAACCAGAGGCATCTGGTGTGGGAGGAGGAAAGGGGAAAGGAAGAGATTGGTGTGGAGAAGGAAAGGAGCTCTATGAATGCATGCACTTTGAATGAAAAACAAAACAAAACTGAAGCACAGGAATTGCTGAGTACAGGAGAATGAAAGAGCAGCCCTGCTGGATATTTAGCAGGCAGTCTGTGGAGATCTATACAGAATATGGGATTGGGGTTCTATCCTTGTCTCAAAAAGGGGGGCGCAATGGCTCAGCAGTTAATGATGCTGAGTTTGTCAGCTGGAAAAATGACAGCCCGTGTTTGAGACCTAAGTGTCCTTCAGTGGGGTGAGCTCCTGTTCCTGCCTCAGCTATCCAAGGGATTGATAAATGTCTGGGGGTCAACAGAAACAGACTGAACCTGGAGCAGCATGGTGATTTAAAACTAAAACTCAAATATTACCTATTTAGATAATTATTATCTATTTATTATTACTATTATGATTTATTGCATAATCAGCTAGATATTTAGATTCAATCAGGCATTTTTGCCCACTCATTGAGTCCTTCCCAAGAACTTGGGATAGGCAGATGTTGTTTGATGGTGTTAAAAGAATTGTCGCAGGATGTAAGCTCTTCCAAGTAAAGCTGCCTTTTGCAACTGACTGATGGCGATTTTCTCAATGCCGATAGTGTTCAAGTGGTGCGCCAGATGTTTTGGGATTGCACTGAAGGCACCTATCACTATGGGTACTATCTTTGCTTTTTTTCCCCCCACAGTTGTTCTATTTGCAAGGTCTTCGTATTTTGTGTTTTTCTCCAGTTCTTTCTCCTAGTCATAGTACTATTCATGTAAGTGGTATTCGTGAAATTATTCATGAAGGGGTCAATAAGCGAAAGAGTTTGGGGGCCCCAATCAAGCAGCTGCAACTAAATAACTCATCTTCACAAATAAGTAAAGTTGCTGTCCGGTATACAGTTTTCATTACCCAGATCAGCTTCTGTTGAACAGCTCAAGATCTAAGAGCAGGTCCCAAGGGATTACAGCAGAGGTCATGGCAATGTTGCTTAAGCTCGGGTAGGATAGGTACATGCAGATGTGTGTGTGCGTCTCTGTCTATATGTGTTAGCTAAGGAGCCTACAAAGGAATCAATCTATCTTGCCCTACTGAAAGAATAAATTTCAAGGAGTCTGAAGAGATGTCCGCTTTGATCTAAGAATCTCAGCCGAGAGACGAACCTCAATTACCAATAATAATGTTAGGACAGACAAGGCAACTTCAAGGCAAATATAGCTTTTCAACTTCAAAAGGAGAAGACTGTAAAAGCAACATCCACCCTAAGCATGACAAGTTGGCAGGTTCAGGGGTTTGCAGATCGGCAGTTAAATCCTAGCAACCAACTGCAATGTCTGCGGTTAAACTTTAGGAGCTCTCGAAGGGCAAAATTATTATTATTATTATTATTATTAATAATAATGAAGAAGGAGGAAGAAGGAAGAAGGAAGAAGAAGAAAAAGAAGAAGAAGAAGAAGAAGAAGAGGAAGAGGAAGAGGAGGAGGAGGAAGGAGGAGGAGGAGGAAGGAGGAGGAGGAGGAGGCAGCCAATGGCCCCAGGCAGCTGGGCACTGTCCTCATCATTGTTTGATAGTATCGTAAACGTGGAAAGAGGGTGAAGATTTTCGGAATCAAAGGGCAAAATCTAGACTCTGTTTCTTTTACTGTTTTCATTTTCAACATTAGAAAGGTGCCTTGCTCAAGCCCTTCTCTATTAATCCAGCTCTGTCCACAGTCTTAAAGTCCATGCAGAACAGCTGCAGGGGTGGGAAGCAGCAGCCCTTGGTACTTGCTAGTTTCAAGAATTTGTATGGACGCACTTTTTTTTTTCACGCTGTAATTAAAACCACAAAAATGCAGCAATTGCAATCCAGCAGATGGAAATAGAATTCCCTCAAAGGCTGACCCAATTTCACTACTTCATCAAAAGACCATTTTCCTTCTGGCATTTTGAGGCATTGCCTCTTCTTGCTTCCTTTGCCTGGTCCATATATATACATATACATATACATCATTAAAACCAACACAAGAAAGAGGGAGTCCAGTCCAGATAAAATTTGCAGAGACTTAGGTTTTTCTGCAAAAAATTGTTTTAAAATGATCAGTGGTAAGGATTCTTTGGAAGAATTTTTATATATTATATATTTATATATTATACATATAAATATGATGACTGCAAATTGTATCTGGACCGGACTACCTTTTCCTTGTGTTGGTTTTAATTAGCACAGCATGCTACTTAATCAATGCCAATTGGTCTCTATATACACCAAAAGAATTGCAATGAGTGGACCGTTGAGAAGGGGGGGAGGGATAAATGGATGGATAAATAGATGGATGGATATAGAGATGGATGGGATGGATGGATGGATGGATGGATGGATGATTTGGGTGGGGGAAAGAGCAGAACACTCTAAATACCAGATTAGCTTGGACAAGATTTAAAATGCTAAACATCAAAAGGCAGGACAGATTTAAAGGATCTTGCCTGGTGTCAACTGGACCAATGGGACCTAAGAGACAGTTTCACAGATGATGACTCAATCCCAAGTAGTGCTTTTTCCTATCTGAACACTCTTGGTCTTCAGGAGCCAGTGGTGGGATTCAAATATGTGAACAACCAGTTTCCTGTGTGGATGCCACTTCCGGAAGTTCATTCTGGGCCTGGGCAACAAAAAATTAGCTACTGGTTCTGCTGAAGTGGTGTGAACCAGTTGAATCCCACCACTGTTCAGGCCTATCTGAATAAGCGAGGTCTTTTTAATCATGGGAAGGGGGAAAAGACACTCTGTGGGAGGGTTGCCTTTCTTAAGAGTCAATGTCCCTCAACCTCATTAATGAGTAGGGGTCGTTCCAGGGAATGGAGCCTTCCTTGATTCTCAAACACACACACACACCTTTTTCTACCTTCTCCACATTCCAGTTTCTCACTTCTCCTTTTCTGCCTCCCATGGGCAGAAATCCAGTTTGGCCAAAAGCCTCCTCTGATGTTGACTTCAGGGCTTCTTTTCTATACTTCTATAATGAATTATCACACAGGATGATTTTGGAGAGAGGGCTTCACAAAACATCTGGGGACCAAAAAGCCATCCTTTTCGTTTCCAACAACTGCTTTCTTTGAAAATCCATACGCACAAATACTACCCCCCAAATTATTTTCCTTAAAAATCATCAAACTCTTGATGGTGTAAGCCCTCACTGGGGTCACTTCCGCTCCTTTCTTTGGTGCCCTTGACCAAATCAAGTCTCCCCAGGAGAAAAGGTCTTTCAGAAAGGGCAGCTAATAGCCAACAAGCAGTTAGAGCGAAGGACTTCCCCCCCCCCTTGCCTTCACAGAGAGGTTGGTGGGGGGAGTGCATCTTTGATCCCTTTCATTATGGCTTGGAGCGTCTTCCACTACGGTATTCTCAAGAGTTCCAGGACAAATCCCAAATAGCCAGGATTGGCATTGATCACAATGGATTTTTTCTATTTTTTCTATCCTGCTCTATGGAGTAGAGAACTGGTCTCTGAGGAGACTAGAAGCATTTGAAATGTGGATTTACAGGCGGCTGTTACGTATAAGCTGGGTTGACAAGATCAGAAATGAGGAGGTGATAAGCCAAGGGAAATCATCAAAACAATTAAAAAACAAAAATTAGAATATTTCGGACATGTGATGCGACACCCAGAAAAATACGGCATACTCCATTTAATCCTCCAGGGAAAGATTGAAGGCAAACGAGGTCCAGGCAGAAGAAGAACATCGTGGCTTCAAAATCTAAGGGACTGGTTTGGACAAAACTCAGCAGCACTTTTTCCAGTGGCTGCTGATAAAAACAGGATCGCCAATATGATCACCAACGTCCGATAACAGATATGGCACAAGAAGAAGAAGACAATGGATGGATTCAAATCACTGTTCATTTGAGCTTCCTAGTATTCTGAGATAAATCCCTAACTCATCTTACAAAGCCATTTAAACCATCCTGGTTCTGTCAGGCCCAGCCCAAGAAGGATACAGAACAATCTAGCCAAAGATAAGTTCTTTAAATGGTCGCACCAATAGACAGAATCTTGCCAGACTGAACCTACACTAAAGGTAAAGTTTTCCCTGTCCAGTTGTGTCTGACTCTAGGGCCCAGTGCTCATCTCCGTTTCTTGGCTGAGGGAGCCTGCATTGTCCAAAGACAATTTCCGTGGTAATGTGGCCACCAAAAGTACATGGAACTCTGTTACCTTCCCTCCGGTGTGATACCTATTCATCTACTCGCATTTGCATGCTTTCAAACTGCGAGGTAAGCAGGAACTGGAGCAGCTCACTCCATTGCAAGGAGCTCAGGTCTCAAACCTGGTCTGTCAGCTTTCCAGTTGACAAAGCTCAGGGTCTTTAACCACTGAGCCATCCCGCCTATACTAGTATACCAAACCTATACTACTCTTACCCTAATACTTGGAAGATTCTAGGGCAGTGTTTCTCAACCTTGACAATTTTAAGGCATGTGGACTTCAACTCCCAGAATTCCACAGCCAGCAATGGGAGTTGAAGTCCACATGCCTTACAATTGTCAAGGTTGAAAAACACAGTTCTAGGGAGTGGTTCTTCTTACTCTCTACCTCTGTCTCCTTTCCAGCTGTGCTGCCTCTTGCCTTGTCCGTTTCCTTCCTTCCTGGGAAACTGACACTTCTCTTTAGTCCATCATACTACTTCCCCCTTTCGTAGACAGAATCCTCAGAGATTCCTTGTCTCCAGATATTTGGAGACCGCAGCTCCTAGAACTGCCAGAAGCTTAAGACTTTTTGAGAGTTGTACTCCCAACTCATCTGGAGCTGGGGAAGGCTGTTGTTAAATGAACGTCATCCAGGGCCTCTAAACATTCAGAGTATCTTTTCAGAAAGCAGCAACTGCCTGATTTAACCAAGCTAGTAAATGAAGTGGCCTTTGGCAAGAACAGTACAACTTTTCAACCAAATTGACTTCTCTGAAGATGGAACCAGCAGGTTGAACACAGTAGGGCTCCCCTGTGTGTTTCTATAAAGCATGTTACTGCAATGGCACATGGTCATCTTCTAGTCAATAGGCTCCAGGGGACAATATATTCTTCCGTGAACTTTAAACAGTATGCCTCTTTCTGACACTTCAGGCTGGGGCTGCTGATGGTCTTTCATTAATTTAGCTTTACCGCCTCCACTCTGGCCAGCTCAGGCCACACACTGGGGCCTTTTAGTGTCTGAGAAGTAGGCGGCCAGTGGGCGGATGGAGGAGAAGCAAGATCAATCTGCCTTCCACAATGAGTTGTTTGAAAATAAAATTGCTGCAAACAAAGATCAAATCCTTTCACCAGCAGAGAGATCAGCAGAGAGGGCATTTGCAGAAGAAGGGGGTGGATAGCACCGGTTCAGTCGATGGAATATTTTCTCCCAAGGCAGCAACATCAGCAGAAGTGGATGGGGAGATCATTAGCTGGAATTCATATTACATTTCCGTTCTCAGCATCTCAAGTACATCCAGAATCCTGCACCTGGAGATGGAATACTGCCAAAATGATGATGATGATGATGATGATGATGATGATGATGATGATGATGTTAGCCATTCAGTCATGTCCAATTCTTGATGATTCTATGGGCCAGGTCTCTCCATATCTTCTGATCTTGCCTTTGATTTTCTTCCTGTCTGGCTTTTTAATAGGCCAAACTGCCAATGTAATCTGCACTTTCTCCTCCACGTTAATTCTTCAACCAAGGCCATTTCTAACTTTATCATTAACCAACAAAATCCAGCCAATTGATAACTGGCAAACATCTTTTTCCAGCCAATGAAATCCTGGAAACAATGATTCCATCTCACGGCTTCTAGGAATACTTTGTTGCCCATGGTCTTCTCTCTCATGGTTTTCTAGAGCTTCCTCCAAAGAGAAAGCACAATGGGAAAAGAAGGGGGGGGGTCTTTGACCTTAACACTGGACTTCTACCCCTTCTTCCCTGCAGCTGAGTTAGAATGAGAATTGAAGTTGCAGGATCCAATCTCAGTCGGCACACCGGGACTAGAGGTTTATTCTTCCAAACGTCTCACTCTTTAGAACAGTGTTTCTCAACCTTGACAATTTTAAGGCATGTGGACTTCAACTCCCAGAATTCCACAGCCAGCATTGCTGGCTGTGGAATTCTGGGAGTTGAAGTCCACATGCCTTAAAATTGTCAAGGTTGAGAAACACTGCTTTAGAATGTCTGTACACCCTGAGGATGTATGAAGTCTGGAAGCCTGGAAGAGTAAACCTGTAGTCCCAGTGACCAACTCAGACTGGATCTTGCAACACTATCCTGAGACACGTATATCTGATTTCATTCACAAGAATTAAAGCATCTATGGGAAATAGGGCTGGAAAGGAATTGTATGGGAGAATGAGGCTGGTGGCAGGTAGATGACAAGGGGAGGAGGGTTCCCCTGAGAAATGGAAGCTGAACAACAGATTGAATTGGTTTTCCACTGTATTTCCATTATTAAAAAAAGAAGTGGCATCTTGTTCAAGGAACCACTTCTTAATTTAGTAACTGAACATCAATAAGCCATTAAGAAGAAACTAATTGCTGTGGCTTCTCCCTGGGCATTGCCTTGGTAAACAAAACACTGAGATAATTCACTATTAATTGTTCTGCATTTGGAAGCAGGAAGGCAGGCTATTTCTGCCTTGCTGTTCCAATGCACTGAGTGAAATCTCCGTGATTAGGGTGACTCTGGTCTTCTTGCTTCAGAGAAACGGGGGGGGGGAGGGGGGGAAGCAGCATCTGGTTTTCAGAGAGTGAAAGGTGAGGATTGTGGGGTGCGTAGGAAATGCGTGGGGTGGAAAAGAAGGCAGCCTTGAGAGCACTAAATAGAAATGTTTAGTATCCTTGAAGGCCACAAAACTAGATACGCATGGTTAAATTCAGTTGGGTTGACAAAACACGGCTACTGTGTTCCTACATTTTGTTTTCCTTAAGTAGGTAAAACCATAGTATGGCCTAACATCGCATCATACTAAAAGCACACATGGTCAAACACGCACAACCCCAATTAGCTCAGCTTGGCAGTATGTATGAACCCAAGCAAAGACTTTCAAAAAGACTTGGCCAGAGAAGAATCGTTGTCATCGTCGTCATCATCATCATCATGGTCATGATCAATATCATCTTCCTCCTCCTCCTTCTCCTTTCCCCCCCCCCACATTTCCACACACACATACCACCTGCTCTCCCACCCCATCCAGAGACAGAGTACCAGCACACCCTCACCGCCACCACAAACACGTACCTCCACCTGCTGACAGATCTGTATCAGTTTGGCCATCTGGTTCTCTAGCTCACTATTGCGTTTCACCAAGTTGGTGAGGTTCATCTCCAAAGTTTGCTGCCAGCATCGAAAGAAAAGGGGAGACAAAGGAAACAAAAAAACAAAAACAAAGAATAAATATCAACAGGCCACAGAGACTGGATAAAGCTAGCCAAAATTTTCTACGCATTCAAATGGCCAGGTCCACATGTGAAGGTTCAAAATTTATTGCTCAAGCCTATGTACTGGAATCTTCTCCAACTAACCGTTTGCACCTGGGTAAAACTACATAGGATCATCGGCGTTCAAGAGGGATTTGGACTTTGTCCTCATTGACTATGTAGAGATTCTAAAGTGATGCCCCACTTGACGCCTCCGCCTGGCTCTGCCTGGCTCTGAGCCATGGGTGGCTCAGGAATTCTGGGAGTTGAAGTCCACGAGTCATAAAAGAGCCAAGGTTGCCCACCCCTGGTCTAGGACAACTCACTCAGCCAATTTACCATGGCCAACTTCCTAAGGGACAACTTGCCATGGGACAAATGTTACATAGTACTGAAGAAAAGGTGGAATAGAATCATTAAAGGAAGGATGCAAAAAGAGGGACAAAATGAAATATGAATGACAAAATTTAAAATAGTTGGCCATGGAAAGTTGGCCATGACGAGTTACCCCTTTCCATTTTTGCACACTAGACCAGCGGTTCTCAACCTATGGGTCGTGACCCCATTTGGGTCGATCGACCATTTCACGAGGGTCGCCAAGCAAGGCTGTCCGCCATTTTTTCCCCTTTTCCAGTGGGTGCCTTACCTCCCTTGGGCTGGGCCAGCTGGTGGCCCAGCCGGTGGTCGGCCTGCTCCGTCTCTGCCGCTTGCCAGCTACGCCTCGGCCGGCGCAGGGGGTGGCACACGCATGCGTGGCACTCCCAGGCAGGGAAATTCCTCGGCTTACGACCGGTTGGGTAGTTCTCAACTTACGATCGGTTTAGCCCTCGACTTACGACCGGTTTAGTCCTCGACTTACAACCGGTTGGGGTCGCAGCATTAAAAAGGTTGAGAACCACTGCACTAGACAAAGCCTGGGCCAGCCCTTAAAAGCCACGGGACTGGTCACACCCCTGACCTAAGGGATCGAACAGCCCAAAACGGACATTAAAACAAACTGGGCAAGGAGAAGCTTAAAGTTTGTGGAGATTCTAAGTCATCCAGGTCATGGTTGTCCCCAAGGTGCTTTTTCAAAAGACAAATGGACTTTCTTGTTGTTGTTTTTTTCTTGAAGACGTTTCACGGCTCATCCGAAGAAGCATCCTCAGTTCCAAGAAAGTTCAACACCCTTTTGCACTCTGATTCAGGTGACCCTGAGCGCACAGATAAATCCTCGAGTGGCCTCAACTCTCTCTTGCAGATGACTGCCAGGAATATAAGTCCTTCCATTTCCCAACATTCAGCCAGAACTGAAGAAGCTTCTTGGGCGAGAAGCGAAATGTCTTCAAGGAAAAACAAAGAAAAGTCCTCTGAAAAAAACACCCTTGGGGGAGGCTGAAAGGCTTCCAGACGCCCCCACCACAACGAAAAAGATCAAAAGGCTAAAACAGAAGAACTCAGAAGCTGCTTAGCCCAACTTACTGGTGTTCCTTCGTTTAACAAAAAGATTCATGTGCAACTCTATTCCTCCAGGAGAAAAAAAAACAACACCCAACAAATGGTCTCCCATTTGTTGCTGCAGAAATTGCTCAGCATTCATGGTTTGCTGCATCAGTAAATATTCAAACGGCAATTTTATTCCTCTCCTCACCCCCACAAGCAACCAGAGCGTGTGGACTTTGCATCTCGGCTTTCTCCGTTTAGTATGTATTAAACAGGAAAATAAATATAGTTTGTGCTACTACGGCAATCTCGCTTTCTGTTTTCACTTTGCTAACTTCATTTATTTCCCCTGTGACCTAGGAAAGCTTGGGCTGTTACAAGCTAATTCTTTTCTTCTTCTTCTTCTTCTTTTCTTTATGTATTATTAAACGGTAACTTGATATCACGAAGATGCCAGTTGATCCAAAGTTGTATGGGACAGTTTTGTCACACATATCCTCAATCGCCCGCTTTTTGAATGCTGGCTTTGCAACTGCTATCATTCCTATAAAAGCCCTTTAGCCTTTATGTGTGGGTAGGCATGTGCCTATGTGTGTGTGCATATATTTGTATACAATATCAATATCAATATAATAAAAGTATACAAAGCAAGCAAAAGAGAAAGAAATGAGAACATACAATTGCGCCTCCCGTCCATCCATCTTTCTTTCTTTCTTTCTTTCTTTCTTTCTTTCTTTCTTTCTTTCTTTCTTTCTTTCTTTTCTTTTCTTTTCTTTTCTTTTCTTTCTATCTATCATTACCATCTTTGTCATTTTTATGTAATGCATATCGGAGGTGGTGACCCTTTGAGAGCTGTATGCTGATTAGTGTACGTTCAAAGTGACAATAAAGTTATTATTCTATTCTATAATTCTTATTCTTTTTCCCCCAGCCTCTTCATCCCTTTTCAATCCAAAAATCCAAAAATCAACAACAACTCTGTGATGCAGGTTGAGCTGAGGGAGAGAAACTGCCTAAATTCATCCAGCTGGCTTTTGTGCCTAAGGCAGGACTAGAACCCACCAACTCCTGGTGATTGGGCCAAAATCAGCCAGCTGGCTTTCATGCCTAAGGTGGGACTAGAATTCTCAATCTCCTGGTTTCTGGCCTAATACCTTAACCACGAGACCAAACTTGCACACACAGGTACACACACATACACACACACACACACACACACACACACACACCAATATCAGAGACATGGAGCAGCCAGCCTTCCCACCACCTCACATATGCATCACCATCTGAACGATGTACAAATAATATCAGGGAAGCTGATTCAACGTCTGCGCAAGTAGGTGGACCTCAGTATCTCTCTTTGTGCAGGGGAAGAACAATAGCGCAATGTATCAAGAAAGCCAATGCAAGCAAAGGCCAGGCCTCTGTTTGCCAAGCTTCAGTAACAAATTTGGACTGCAAGGAAACAGGAAAGATGCTAAACAATGGCAACCGCGCCATCATCTCTTTATTGTTTGCTGCAATCAACTCAAATTGTCGTCCCCTTTCTCCGCTTGTCTCTTTCCTGTCTCCAAGTCCTTGGCAACCTAGCTCCATAAATGAAAGTCGGCTGTCAGTCATGACCTGACTTTTGATTGTTAAGATGCTTTAGATCAGGGGAATTCTGGGAGTTGAAGTTCACAGGTCTTAAAGTTGCCAAGGTTGGGGACCCCTGCCTTAGATCACTATTTCTTAACTTTGGCCATGTTAAGGTAGGTGGACTTCCAACTTCCATAGCTGGCTGGGGAATTCTGAGAGTTGAAGTCCACCCATCTTAAAATGGGACCAAGTTTGAGAAACACTGCCTTAGACCCTCATTCGACCACAAGGGTTAGTCATCTAAGTCTACATCTTCTTGACTTCCAATTCCATCCATCCCACCTGATGATCAAGGTTGGGAAGAGACATATAGCCCAAGACTACCTGAGGGTTACAAGTATGCCATCCTTATAACCCAGTATGAACAGACACATTGGTGACATGTTACTCAACTCCAGTTTCTTCAGTTCTGACCTGCCCAGCCATGACAAAGGGATTTTGGAGCTGAAGTCCAAAATATAACGGGAGACACCAGATTGCTTCTGCCCAAGACAATCCTCATGGTCACGTGATCAAAACTCAGGTGCAACTGGCATGCATTTATGACGACAATTGCAGCATCCCAGGGTCATAGCTGTCCTAAAGGTTCTTTTTCAGGAGGTCACTAGACTTCCTTGTTTTTTCTTTGAAGACGTTTCGCTTCTCATCCAAGAAGCTTCTTCAGCTCTAGCTGGATGGTGGGGAATGGAAGGATTTATACTCCTTGCAGAATATAGCAATATAAATCCTTCCATTCCCCACCATCCAGTCAGAGATGAAGACGCTTCTTGGATGAGAAGCGAAACGTCTTCAAAGGCAAAACAAGAAAGTCCAGTTGCCTCCTGAAAAAACCCTGTTGAACAACCACAACCTGGATGGCTGAGAATCTCCATAGACCACCCAGAATCGTGTGATCACCATTTGTGATCTCCCCAGCCAGCTTTCAGTGAGCAAAGTTGATGGGGGAAGTTGGATTCATTTAACAACCACATGATGCAGTCAATAACCCGTAATTTGCTTAACACCCATGGCAAAAAGATCACAAAATCATGAATGTAACACTTAGCAACCTTGCTGGCAGCCGAAATGTTAGTCACAATTTTGGTTGTAAGTTGAGGATGGCCTGTGTCTGGACTACTTACCCAGACTGGTATTAATGAAATTTAATTAATTAAGGAACTTCCCCTATCTTCACTAAACAGGATCTAAACAAACCAATGCAAACCAGCTGATTACTATCCTTTGCTATCGTGTTTACTTGCAACTCACTGCTATTAAGGCCCTAATTCGGCTGGCTAAAAACAGAGAGCGTTTCATTCACTAATTATCTCCCACTTGCCAGTTTGGCAGCTTAAAAATTTCAAGCTTGGAAATGAGGCAGATTCTCTTTAATGCAGCTAATGAAGGAAAATTAGTGAGGAGATGTCACTCGCAAGCGAGTTGCCAGAGGTGTGTAGAAATGTGTGGGACTGCTCTCAGCAAGGAACCAGTTTTTCCACCCAGACAACTTAATACATGTTTCGGTTTTCTAAAGGAGCATTTTATGCAGAACATCAATTCACAGAAAGCCAAACACACGTCAATGCAAAGTAAATCTTCTCAAAGTAGACTAGAGATGCCAATGTGTTTTACACAAATCGCCAAGGTCTCTGGTTTCTGCTGTGGTGATCTCAAATAATGGGAATTCTCTTTTTTTTTCCTGCTTCAAGGGAGAATATGTGGTCATAACCAAATTACATTCTAGACCAGTGGTTCTCAACCTGTGGGTCGGGACCCCATTTGGGGTCGAACGACCATTTCATGGGGTCGCCAAACAATGCAGTCCGCCATTTTTTTCCCCTTTTCCTTAGCTGTGCTACTCCCTTTTATTCTATTGGC